ATTCTGAGTTGCAAAATCACCAATTGCCCTTACCGCGTCAATACAATTAGGTAGAAACTGTACCTCTGACAATATTCTGTTGTAACACTCAATCTTAGACTTTAAAACAGTTAAACTAACATTCTAGATATGCAGATCCAATATATCTGTCTGTTATTTGGTGTTCAAATTTGCGCCACTCGAAAAGGTGGTTATTTAGCCTCTGGGTTGCTCGGTAGTGGTGATCGAGACTGCATTCCAATTCCATTGGTCGTTAACACTGCTAGAGCTGGATGATGGAGAGCTGACACGAGGTGGACACAACCGCCTATTCACCCACACGGTTTACTTGTTGTGTGCGTGGGCGTATTTAGACAGGGCTCTGGACAAGAGGCCAATGAAAGTCACGCGTGAGTGACAGTTGTTAAGCTGCTTGCGGTCGACCCCTGTCGACAGTCTCCAACACACACCCCTTCCGCCTCCACCCAGAGAACGTTGGCGGCGGGGCACAATTAGCACTCGCATTTCATCGTAACGTGAGAATGTTAACATGAGGAAGGCACAATTTTTCGTGAAGTTAATAACGTCGCAGATTAGGCTTCAGTTCCTTTTTGGTCTATTTTCCCTTCTAGGCACGTATGTACACAGAGACAGAGGCTTTTTTGGAGGGCATCCATCGACAAATGAGCGTGATTCTTACAGACCACCTTTCTTTTGTCCTGAACACCGTCCTCAACAGACTCGCAAGATACGACGAGGGAAATCTGATTTCCTCCATTCTCACGCTTACGGTTTGTTCCGATCCCCTTTAGCTACTTGGGCTCGTCCTCATAACTCCCGTATCTCAATATTTCCAGTCATCATAACTGAAAACTGCGCATGGGAAATGGAGTTATAAAATCACACTCTATAATTTATATAAATTATTGTCATATTTATTTAAATAAAATCAAGAGAAACAAATAATGTCACAGTTAACTATTACAACAAATCTTATTATACCCATATATGTATACATGTACTGCATGTCCATAAGCAGTGTTGTTTCAAAAGTAAACTTGACGTAGGCTGGCCTGTGCCTTGTGAGCCACCTAGTGCTTTGGTGTAACAAAGTTTTGTCGTTTTATGTGAAATTTCTCAAATAACCTGTAGTGGATACTTCTTGAAGTTTCATATCTTGCACTTTTTCAACAAGTGTTTTAAACATCAAATTTGTGTGAAACTAGTAACTTGACTAACACTTTGATTCTTTATCAGAAACCCGTGGATGAAGACGGTCGAAGTTATACTCATTTTACCAGTGCCAACCTTCAAATTCTGTGTCAAAATCTAGTTGACGATGTCTATCTCCTTTCAATCTTCGAGGTGAATTATTAATTCCTCATTCTCCCCTCCTCACTTTTAGAAGTGGTATACTAGTCAAATGCGCCTAATTCAAGAGTGGCTTATGCAAAGATGTAATAACGTCTTACATCCTTATCAAATCAAATGCCTTGCTACCATCGTACGGGTAGGTTGATAGATTTTCGTTTTTACCTCTTGGCACTGTAGAAAGTGTTTTCCGACTTTGAACTACAGGGTGTTGCTACACACGTCCTCGAAAATACGACTTACAGAAGCATTTGTCACCGACTCCAAGTAAGTTTCGATTTCCACTAAAATTCCTCATTCGACTTCACTTTCCCTCACCGCATACACCTTTAGGGTAACTATGCTGCACCGTACAACAATTTTAGGTAACGTGGCACCGGTTTTCGACTTTAAGAGCAACAGCAATTTTGACAAACTTTGCCATTCCGTGCACTTTAAAGCATGATCGGAGACGTAAGCAGAGCGCTCAACAGGAGGTTGCCTTTTGGTCTTTCACAATTATTGTCGTCAAACACTGTTATAACCTGACCACATACTTCACTTTAAACGTATTTTGATAGTGGAGTTATTGTTTTTTGGATAGTTCAGAAGTGCTGAAATGTCCAGGTTTTCCAAAAAACTGCAATGTCTCGAGATCGAAAGTTAATTTTCAATGTACTACGGAGACTTCCCTATTTCGTTGCCACAGTTGCCTAGTTAATGGTTTCCTCGATACTTCTCAAAGAACAGATTTGTGATGTGTGCAAATCGACCTTGATATAAAAGCACTTAAAACTTTGAATGTAGTCACTAGGGCCCTTCTATTTGCATCAATGTCGCTCCACTATACTGCCTTTGTAAAATCCGTTTCGAATAGGTACCTCCCAATCTTTAGCTCAGGGCATAACACTCCCCATAATTATGGTGCTTAGGATTGAGAACGCGAGCAAGCATTTACTCCCTACTTCATTTTGATGCAGGTTGAAGAGGCGACTCTTTCTGTTTCTTCAAACACACGAGATGACTCGCCCTCGTCGACACAATCACCTGTACCAGACGGCCGCCAAAATTTTATGCGAGCATTGGGTGGCGGTCTGAGCACTCTCGCTCAGGGTGCGGGCCTTCGGCCGCGTCAGTTGTAAACGTTGCTAAGACGAACTGTCTCAAACTGCACCACAGTCTTTCAGTGTTTATTTACGCCGATTTCCATCTCACATCTCTCCGTCTCATACCTTCCTAATTTACTTTTGATCATCCTGGCCTTACATCATCGTCATCACCATTCCAGATTGCCTGTAATCCAATTTTCCAATTTATTCTTACCTACAAACACTCAGGCTTCGCAACCAGCCGTCTCTCAAACCGACTCTGTATTTCGCCTTTGTAGGGCATTTTCAAAATTATGGTTATTTTTTTATTTTACAGCTTCTGTATGATAATTTATGAGTGCGCGCCGAGAGCATTTTTAGGGGAGTACTTTCTGTTGTATAAAATCAATGTATTGACACTGCATGTTAATGTATACACACCCGTGGGATACACCGTTACGTCAAAAAATCTTCAGTGCATCTCCTTGCCCTATCAAGTCCTTGTGTTAAAAGATGTATGGTTCATGGGCGTTGTATGCCTGATTAGTGACCATCTGTTATCGTATTTTAAATGTATCCATTTGTTCCCTTAAATCAATCACCATAGAATACCGTAAACCTGTAAAATCTATACGTTCGATTTGCTTGCCGCTAGAATTCGTCGAGTACGGCTTCTGCCAGTGTTGCGGCAAACCACTTATTGTTAGTTCTTAATAGCAATAATTTTGGACCTCAAAGGTTTCTCGGATAATCCCCCTGCTGAAATGAAAGCACTATTTATTAGTTCACACGCCTAACTGATTTGAATTTGAGTATAATTTGTACTGTTCTTTTTGTCTTTACTAAATCAATGATTACCCTCTTGTATGTGCTCTGAGTTGTACGAAATAACTTGTTATTCTGTAGCATCAATTTAAGAAAGTTCTTAAATTGTGCTCTCTCCCCAGGTCCTTTATTTAAAAAAAAGTTATGAAAAATCCTGACATTTGAAACTCTGTGTGGTTAAAGTGGATTAAATTGGGCAATTTTAAATATGTAAGTCTAATTTAGCTGCAAGTATTCAAACGCCAGGCGGCATAATACACAATAAACCTGGATCCGATGTCGGCAATGAAGGTGACGAATAAGCTACCGTAACAGCAGCTGATTGCAATAAGCAAGTTCATCAAATATATAAACAAAGTGATTGGATGAGTGGAATGTGATTTATCATCGGTTTTGTGCTTGTCCACCTGCACCACTGAACATTTACAGAAAGAACAATGTAAGGCTACGAAAAACGTTAAATTTAAGTAATTCGTCAGATTTTTAATGAAATTGGAATGTAGGAAGCAAAATCAAATTTAGGAATCGTACCAAGTGCACTTAGTATTTATAGGTATGACAGGTAACATCTTGTTGTGGGATCCAGCACGTGGTGTTGAATCACGCCGGGGCCGCGAAATTAACCCTGGCTCGATTACGCTTGCCTAACACCCGCGATGAAGAAAAAGATAGGAGAGGATGTGGACACAACCGTTTACTTCAGATCTCAACCAAGTTGGTGTCGTGTGTGAGGTCTGCGTGTGTGTATTTACACCTCGGGTGTGCGAGTTATACATGCGCTAACAACAAGACCTATGTGTGGGGACACTCCAAGATAAATATTCGGGCTAATGAAGGGGGAGTTGAGGATTCGTGCGGCTGGCGACATGCTGCGACAAGGGGAACCCTGTGTAGGAGGTGGAGCGATTGGATTACGTGGTGTGAATAAACACGATTCACGGCAATCTAAAATGAAGTACTGTTTGGCATATTTTTTTCATCATTGTCGTGTGGCCTAGATCATTCATGGTTTTGATTACTTAGGGATTCTCCCTGCCTACTTTGAAGCTAGCAGTCGTGAGTTTCAGCATATCCAGAATTAAGAACAAGGAAAGTTAGAGAACCTGAAATTCCATTTTCCCTTACCACCTATGGAACCAATTAGTGGATAAGTGATTGCAGACGCAGATTTCCTTATGTTTTCTGAGGGGTGGAAATACAATCACGTAATTAAACTAAATATAAATAAATTCACAGTCCATAAACAACTTTGGGCCACGCGACGATATTCCATGCTCCGTTAACAAACTGTCAGACTCACAAACCCTTATTCTCTTGGCCAACTGAAACGCTGTAAAAGAAGTTATAAACTCCACTTTACTAGAGACTCCCTTTGGAAATTTTTGTGCCCAGTTCTATGACCAGAGTTAAAGGCATTACCACATTGATTGTTTGATGACCCTTACCAACGAGATCAGGATATTCTGAACGTGGTTCCCACAAACAAGAGTTAATTCCTTTCTCTTCAATAGGCAAATATAATTCCATCTAGTGTCTTCTGCAATTCATTTGTTTTAGCCGACGTCGTAAGTCCTGTGTCTGTTTGGAGATCAAATTCAGTGATATTTGGAGGTTAAATGTGTTTCACCTATTTTAGTGGACATTTCTGCACTGTATTACTCATAGCAAATTTATGGAAACTAATATTCTAAAGTTTTTTTTTTAAGACGCCCATTCACGGCATTAATTTTTAATATTACTGCCCACAAATCTCCTCGTTATGTGCTTCTATTCGCTATAGTATTTCTTGAACTGCGGATCTGCACTTCACACATTTCCAATTCAGCGGGTAGCAGTCATCGTCAAAGTTGCCTTATTTTGAAGGTACAGAGATTTTCAAAGTCCTCACACCTGTTAATGCACGTTTAGACACTTTAATGATTCACCCTTCATTAGTGCCCTTTGACTCTTCCGTATTTTTTGCTTATTTAACCAAAAATGAATGTACACAAACCCACTTTTTACATTGATAAGTTTCTAGACCGAAGCCACGCACTTAATGATTTAGCCCCTTGTCAAAGACCTAAACACTACTTTTCAAATCTGCACGCCTCTCTAAATGTTGCTTTTGCATGAACTTATGCAAATCGATAATACAAATATAATAAAGAAATATGGTGAGACATTTGTGTGCTATTTAATTGAACTGTCCGATCTATACCACTTCTGGTCTTCTTCCTCTTCGATAATGTCCCGTATTACATTGCTGGATTGAAAGCTTTATGGGGCCACAAAATCTCATTTAGCCTTAATAGATAAACACTGATTTTTAATAGGTTTTTATTATACCTCAAACTCGTAGTAGTCTTAGTCAGAAACCTAAATTAACTTTAGGTCAAGTAGCACATTAAATGCTTAAGGCAATATGCTGCAATTTATGGACGATGAAAAGTGGATGTGCGTCTTCTGAATGCGATAACTTTTTCTCGTTCTGCTGATCCTTAACGCCATGGAGTACATTAATTTTTTAATGTTCAAGTTAAATATTTCAAATGCGTTACTCAAAAGAGTGACAACGATTTTGAGTAAATTTTCTTCATGATAACGAAAAGTAGGTAAACAGCGATGTTGCTATTATAACCAGTGATTTAGTAGATTTTGTTGTAGGACTTTTTCCATCAATTATGCCTAAATATTAGTTTACCACGAAATTTTTCGATTGCATACAATGGAGCCCAGTAGTTTAGGGCTTAAAATTTAACTTAGTAGTGCTTAATTGACCACTGTATTCTGAATAAAAAGAGTCAACATCAAGATCGCAATTGTAAATGGCCAGATTATAATTGTCGTTCAATCCAAATGAAACATATATGCAAGTGAACTTCAACATGACGTTAATTCTAGAACACGGGAATAACTACATGCTATAAGTTAAACCATGGTGCCCTTTTCTAGAATAATTTTTTATGATGGTTTTTCTGGCTTTTAAAATTAATAAATAATTCTCTAAGTTTTATTTTCAAGAAATCAAGTGCATCCGACATAAGTAAAAACATAAAAGCGCATGATAATTGAGGGACCAAACCGGTTAGCTGATATTTGTCTGACACGTACCAATAGCTGAAGTATTGTTGGATTAAATTAATTTTAAAAAGGAATAATTTTTGCAGTACGAGTTTGGGATTAAGCATTGGTATAATTTGGTGCTATTAAGTTGTTTGTTTAAATGTGCATAAATTTCGGACACTCTGGAGGGGGCTGTTGCGTGACATCGAGTAGGCATTTTGTCGTTTTCGGGCGCCGTTGACGTTGGTGGTGTCTTCTTCGGACATGTCTTTGGACGACTTCTTCAATAAAAAGAGCAAGAAGAAGTCAAAGAAAACTATTAATGCGCAGGAACTCTTTGAGAAAATCACTGACGGACCTCAGAGGCAAAAGTACGAGGCAGAAAAAAACTCTGATGATGTCGTTGACCCTCAGGCCGAGGATACCGGAGAATGGGAACCCATTGTCAACGATGACATCGAACTTGATTTTTCGAATATGCGTATAAACGATTTGTCGACCGCAAAAAACGAGGAAGAACAGGCGGTTAATGAAAATATCAGTGCCGTAAACAAGTCCGATGATTCAAAGGTGGTTTGGGGCGGCAAGGCGAAAACAGGTGCGTTTAAATTTACATCAGTTCCTTTGTTGCCCTAAAATGTTATTTGCAACTTATGTTACTTTGAATCTTGGCACCATTTGCTGAGTTTAACTGATGCCATGCCTAGTACAAAATTCCAAGTTCAGTGTATTTGCAATGTCTAACTTCTCATATTGATTCGTGTTTTATCCGTTTTATTTTTCTATCTTCGTTACTTGTAGGTCTATCGTTAAAATCACCATATGCAGATTTTTGATCCCAAGCGTTATAATTTTTAGAAGAACCAGAGGCGAAAGAGGAAAAGCCCTCTGAACCAGTCAAGTCGGGCGTATACATTCCAGTTAATTTGAGACCTGGTGGTGCAGCCCTGTCTGCACTTTCCAAGCCTCGACCAAACCTGGATAGCGTAGAAGAATTCCCAACTTTAGACTTTGCTGCTCAAGCTAAAGCCAAAAAACCCGTTGTTTCTGAAAAACAGGAAGATTCTTGGACAGAAGTATCCAAATCCTCTAGTGGTCACCGCATGAATGAACCGGCGTCCATTGGTAGCAGTAGTGCTGCTTTCACAAACTTCAGGCGCGACGATGCGCCACCGACCAAATATGCGGCTCCCGGTTTCCGGGAGTATGGTCCCCGGTACGCGCGAGACGCATCTCCCTCGAGACCTTCACCTTCCCAGCGTTCTGGTGGCTGGGTTCGAGGTGAACATGTTAGAAGCAAGCAACCGCCCACTGTGGAACAAGTATCGGCAGATAAAAACAATAGGTGGTCTCGTGGAGCTACGAATAGGCAAGTTCGTTCTTTTACCTCGTGACTTGCTGAGTGGTGTTTAATTTTGGGTTTACCAAGGCGTGGGTAGTGTGACGCCAATCGGATAGTTTATGTTCCCTCCTTGTGATGATAAAACCAATTGCCCGATATAATTTTAAATTTGCCACACAAAGGTGCAAAATCACAACTCTTGACGTTGTTATAGCTAAGGGTTTTCATAATTGAGTTCTGGTGTAGTAATGCTTGCTTTTGTTCTTGTTTTAGTTCGGAAGCCTCCAAACATCACGGTATTCTTCATCAGAGGGATATTCTGTCGTTCACGCAAGAAAATCGTTATGCTCAATTGGATAACGCCTGAGAACAATTTCGTCTTTCCGACCTCGGAGCTAATGCCAAACCGCTTCGTGTGCCCTTGTATTGCTATTTACTCATCGTAATGGTTTGTACATTTCCACCATGCAATACCATTCCTTGTACCTCTTGAACAAATCTTTGTTACGACACACTAGACGCACCATTTACCGTTGGATTTTTCGGCCACAGGATTTTTCTTCCTGAAATCGCATCTGCGACTATTGCAGGTGTCAGTCCAAATTGGTAGCACACAGCTGCGTCGATGGAGAACCTTATTTCCCACTTACCCTTCATTAGACAGATTGGAATATATTCGTGCATTGTACGGCGGGCCCGCTACTGAGCGATAGTCCAAATCGACTGTACACACTGGTCTTGTCCTTTTGTGTTACCTGGTCGTGCCCGCCTTTTTCTTCGAGTGCCTTAGTTTTCCTGCAGATGCGTGGGGATTGACATCACCCGGTTCTGTGGGGATACGCACAACCTAAACTACGTTGCCCAACGTTCGCCCTCGCCCCTAATCATGAGGTACTAGGTGTCGTTCCAGGCGGTGGATTTGCGGTTAGCTCTAGTAGTCTACATGAGTCCTGGGGTGTCTGGATGTCGATTAACCCTTGGTTGGAGGTGGAGTGCGTCGACGACCAGGCTACTGCGCTTTCACGGGTTGGGACGAAATGATGTCCTGTCCCCCTATGCGACATGTGAGTTTTTGTGTGGGGATCTCTGGTTTGCTAAAACAACACGAACGTTTTTGATGACTAGTATTAACTAGGTGTGGGTCAAGCAATATAGAATAATTCAGAATACGTGCTTGTAAGCATCGCCTTTTGCTCGTTCAAACAGTTTAATTCAGATAGAAGCCTGACTGGTTAGTTGCAGCGAGAAGTTTCTCCTTTAGTTGTTCTTCCGATTCGTATTCCGGCAGTTTGAGGTAATGCATGCAGGTGTTTACGCTCGGGTAAGGTCCAAAAAGTCGAGCGTCTTTCTTCGCTACCTAAAGTCAAATGGACCTGTTTTGATCACGAATTTCGAATTAACTCAGCCTCTAACTGGTCGTTCCTTACTTTCAACCTGGGGTAAAGGTTTCTGAAGCCCCCAGGGGGAAGGTTGGGGGATCCAGTGACAAATCTGACGAAGGCCTTCCGCTCAGACCCAGTAAATTTGGAAAGAACATGCAAAAGCATGTGGAAGCCCAGTGATTGTCGCACGTAGCCGGCGACGGGCTCGAAAGCATCCAGCAGCTCATCAAACTTCCATGGAGATAGTGATGTGTCTTCTCCCATAATTAACCTATCCAATTCGTTTGGGGTGAAGATCGATAGGGTTTCTATTGGAAAAACTGAGTTAAACCCATCTGAAACATAAAAAGAACTAGGTTGTTTCAGAGATAAGGGATCCCACGGAAAGGCAGTAATTTTCAATGGCCTTAAAATATTTGACCAAATTCGGGAAAAGCTGCATCAATATACGGATGAATTAGAAACGTGTATAATCATCACTTCGCCATTCATTGTGTCATTTTACTGAGGACAGGTATCCAGTATCTATCGTGTTCCTTCTGTCTTATCAATTCTTCCTACCCATATTTATTCATTTTGAAGCCTTTTACTGTCTCTATAGAAATATCCCAGCTTAAATTCAGGGCATAAAGTTATCAATAAGTTCAGTTTTTATTCAAGACCATTTGACTTGCATAGGGTCAAATGTGTTGCTTCCCGTGACCATCAAACATGCCATTCGTTGGATCTTGACCAGCCAAATTTCCTTTTATATTTAAAGAAAATGAGGGCCTTTGTTTTGGCGCACTATTTGCATACGACCGTGGTCGACATCACTTCTATCCTTCTGACTGTGTCACGTTTCATGGAATATATTTATCGAATGCATCATCACTAAAACCACTTTTCAGAATGACACAACTTTACCCGTAAATGCCTCAAGTTGCCTTTTTATGCCTTTATTCATTGCAAAATCCACCGAGCGTCGGATATACAGCTCCAAGTTCTCAAAATTCACAATTTGTCCATCCGTTACATTCGCCTTAGGTAGAATGGGAGGTTCAGGGGTTTCCCAATCGTAAGAATCGTCCAATCGAAAGGAAGTGTGGCCAAAACTCTAAAGCACAAAGAGTAAATCTCGTTTAATTTGGCTAAATGTGTGCGAATTTCGCATAATTGGAGTTAGAAAGTTGTAGTGCACTTTGATCAGAGTATATAATGACCTATAAAAATTAGGGTGGAGGATTCGTTGAAATATCATTGAACGACGAGGAACCAAGGCCAGAGCAACATCTCAGAGAATCTATGTTAAGTTTGATGGCATTGACTGCAGACCAGACCCAAAATGTGGATTGACCTGTCGAAAGATTAACTTCTGCCACTTCAATCACCGAACATTACTGTAGCACAACTTAAAGTTATAATCCGCCTATAGCTTGGGGCATTAATAGATGCACAATTAGGCTTCCTAGATGACAGAAAGAACAAAAATTATGCCATCAACGACCCACAGACTAATATATAAGTGCAACGAATGCCGTTGGCGTGTCAGTTCTACCGGTTATGTAGGAAATTGTAAAAGGCTGAAGTGCCATGCCCGCTACTACTTTAGTGGGTAGCTGACATAAGAATACCTTGGTCTGAATGTCATCGCCACCACAAGATTTCCATTACGCTGTGGTGAGTCTAGATGATTCTTGAACGTCACCACACTACAAGCTTGATCGGGTCCCATGATTACTCACTCGCGCAATCTCCCTGTTGCCCCCATCGATGAATTCTAATGCTCATTCTAAATAATCTCTGTTAATTCTCCAATGTTACCACAAAAGTGACCATGCGCCTTGCTAGTCATGCCTACGACCTGAATACACCAAGATTCATCAGCCCAGTAAACGTTGCCCTTGATCCTCTCTGGGTCGTCGGGTCGAGCCGAAAGACCAACAATAAATTAGTTACTTCGGTGTGGGTGTAAGACATTGAAGTCATCAATAATTTGGACCATATTAAAGGTGTTATTAGGATGATCTTTCGCGTACGACGGAAACCGAGAGCGTGCACACGTGATGACGAATGCTTCGTTCACAGTTTAATCGAATGCCGATGAAAATATGTATAAATCTTAATTGCATAAACTCACACATGAATATTTGATCAAGGGAAGAACGGACTTACAGTGGTAACTGCGGGAAACTCCATCGTGAGACACAGGTCCTCGAGTCTTGCAGAGAATGTTTTGACTTCCAGCTCTTGCCGGTCCTTTGGAGAGAGCGCACTACTGTTTGCGATTTCCAAGTACTCGAGACAACGCAAAAAGAAGTCGCCCTTCTCTGGATAGATTTCCCGGAAACTTCTCAACCTCGGAATTCGGTCGTGTTCGCAGACTTTCTCACGGCTGGTTAATAGTCGCAAGAAGCTGAAGGAAAGTGGGAGGTCCATTCGACGCTGATCCTTTGTGAGAAATAGCATTGTTGCAACGTGGAACGCTCAGTGGTACTTGCGGTAAAAAACAGCGGGATGCAAACAGATGTACTAGATGGATTTGTTTGCAGCTTTTGACAATCCAACTGCACAGCTAGGTTTACGGTTAACAGGCAATGTTTTACTTGTTGCGGCATGGTGTTGCGAGAAATACAACTGAAATGACCAAGGAGCAGCCGTATATTAAGTCGTGAAAGGAGGCGTGTTTGCACAGGATAACACGTGCGTTTATATAGCTTCGCTAGGCATCGGTCCTTGAACGTAAAGTGCATTCTCGAAAACCGACTGAATCGTGTTCGCCCGCGCTTGCTAACTGCGTTCGCTCACGACTGCTAACTGTGCTCGCTTGCTGCTCGCCACATACTAGCGCGTTGGTTTCGGTCGTAGATATGGTTTCGTAAAATCACCTTTAGCATCAAAGACTTTTCGTTGACTTTTAAGCTTACCATTTCATTGGGTCCTGAGAAATATTGGTAGTAACAAAGGAAAATAGCACTGTATTGTCGGCAGACACGCACAACTAACACAGAATCGTACTTTGTGTACCTCTGTCGCATATCAACGGATATTTACGTTTCCAGATCGCATCTCCGTTAATGAAGGTGACCACCACTATGTAAAATATGGTACAGCACACAAAAGGACAGTGACCTAGTGCCCTTGCTTAGTGCTCAAGCTCAAAGTTTAAATTTCGCCAACTGTGGAAATGTTACGAGCTTTCAAACTGCATACTTTCAACAAGTAGGCCCTAACAGCTACTCAAGTAAATTAAAAATAGGCATATTCGTTGCAAAAAAATTGCCAGCAGTGAATTTCTCTTCAAGTAAAAATTGATGACGCGATGAGTTTATGGTCTCAATATCGAAGGACTCAGTGAACGGTAAAATTACACATAGACAACAATCATGAGGTACGAGCTACAGGTTAATACCTGGAGACACTTTGCCAAAGCGATCCCAAGTAGACGAAACTTCTCTTCAGTGCCATTAGGCATCTCGTTCGCAGGCCACGCAGACGGGAAGAGTCCGTTCTTGGGGGAAAGGTACGTGGCGTCACCTGATCGATGATGAGGCAGCCCATCCCTCCTATCCGTGACGCTTGTCTCGTCGAGAAAGCAGGACGTTTCGCATCGTCCTACCGCTTCCTCCGGATCGTCAAAGGGTGTTTCATTTTCCGAGACAACATCGATTTCGGGTTCCTTTAGTTTCGAAATGGTCTCTTCTCTCTGGCTGTAGTCAGCAACCCATAGGCCATGACAACTACGCCTGGGAGAGCAAAAGATAGCGTATTATATGTTTAGACAACTCTCATTTTAAATAGACTGATAAGCACAAATTCCGTTAGGGACTATTAATCACAATGCCCGAACAGTGACGCTTGAACGCTTGGTGCTCTGTTTGAGAAATGAAGTTTGCTTGAAGTAGAAAAGACCATAAGTCGTGAATATTAAATCATAAATATTCGCCGTTCTTAGCCTTTGTAGGGTGGAAATGTTTAAAAACAACGCAAGTTTAAATCCAAAATGTCTGGAGAATATTGAAGAATATTTAGATAAATAATACATCAGTCATTAACATTAAGATTTAAATTGCTGTGACAGCAATGCATCACTTCTACGTGTCTGCTCCGTGCATCCCAATCAGCTCCAATTAATGAGGTTTGAGTGGGCTTTTGGATATACATTAAAATTCACTTCTATCACAATTAGGAATGCCTTCTCATCCGTTCTAATGATCTGTGCATCCTTTTCAGGATCTCGACCGTTTATATCTGCTTACGTCGGGGAACGAATCACGCATGTAGATACTTCACCACGAATGTCTGCGTCTTATAAGTATTCACGACTTCATACACACAAAATTCAAAAGCTCAGAGAGTACCATCAGAATCCTCTGAAAGTAACTACGCGGTGTGGCTTTGGGACTTCTATAACTTACATAACACTTCATTTTACTAAAAATATCGTGGATGTAGTTACTTTAGGTTGTGAGGAATGGCCTGACTGTCGCCACTGGTTCTGAGCCACAATTTTGCATTAGAGGACAAAGTATGCGTGAAATCACTCGCAGGGAACATTTTAATACCGATTTTGTCACAAAATTTACAGTACTGACTCATTTTAAATGAAAATGAAGCCAAAAGTCCCCCCAAAACCAGAGATAATCAAAGGGTTGTCTAACCCAACATTTCTTGCTGTCACTTCCGTTGCGTTTGAACATTGTCATGAAGCGCGAGACTATGCTAAGTGCTATTTCCACACAAACAGAAGCATTAGGATGGCTGTGCATGACAGTATCAACATCAGACTACTCGTCTATAAATAATTTTGTAACGTGACCGGAACGTCTACCGCAAATCTCAGATGGCTCAGACCTTAAGCTTCAATTGAAGCCATAAAATTGCATTATCTGAGCTCTTGTCAGAGGAATTACCGATCTTTTTCGCAAAATCTCCCAACAGGAAAGTTAAGCCTTACATAAATTCTGCCGAAAGCAAAGCATAAAATTCCATAGTGGGGCCCAGACCAGTACCCTCCTCGTCTATGAAGCCAACTTCCAATTCCTGTTTCCTCGATGCGTGCGCAATAAGAAAATCCCGTGTAGTTGTCCAGAAGGCCGACTTGCTGCTGGTACTGGCTGTAGGTCGGGGCACCTTGGCAACTTCGCGTTGCAGACGTCCCAGAGCACCCAGGTTACTTGAGTAATTGTAGAAAGATGAGGTTATAGGGGCCATTGGGATGGTTGCACCCACTTGCAGTGGAGATTGTGTGAAATAGGGAAAACTGTTGATGTGCCCCGTTGGTTGATTAAGAGATGCCCCTAAAATGGGACGAAATCCATTGTCTAAAACTTCAAATGAGGGCGCAAAGTGCTGATGCTTGTTATAAAGTAGGTTTTTCAATAAGAGCTCTTTGCCATTTTCCAAAAATTCCCTTCAACTGAAGGGTGGCGCAACATGACATCTACAAGATTTTTCCAATGCTTCTCATGTTACTTTCGAATACCGCCATGATACATGATAGAAAACTATCAATAAAACCATAAAGTTGAAATGATATGTTGAAAAAATAGGTTCAGCTAGCCGAAATGGCTATCCCAATACATATAGTGTCAAGTTAACCTTCTTTCGAGGCATTCAGACTGCCACAAAAAAGACTTGTTAGTATCCAGACCGCACATTTGGCATGGTCCCTAAAATAGGGAGTCTGTCATCGGTTTTGCCTACACTTTACCCCAATAAACCAGATCCCTCAGTAGAAAATTAGATATCGACCTAACAATTGAGTAAGTAAATATACTACATTAAAGAGCTATGACTGGAAGTGATTTAAATAACAGAAGCTGGACTGTTAGAAAATGTCCCTCGTAAAATCTTTTCACCAAGACTTTGTCGTGTACCGCGTTGATTTACACTCGTTAATCCGGTCGCTCTGGCCTCTGACACGCCGATCCCCTTTTCATAACATGCCGTCAGCTAAGCGGAACCTCAACTCACACGGCATTTGTGTGAAAAATTATCCTGGTGTATCACTACGCGTGATAACATTCACCTGGGTCTTGATAGTGGCATCTCAATGACTCACGTTGCTCCACACGTCTGATCTATAACTACACACGCGCAAACGCCACACACGACACAACGAAGTAAAGTAAACGGTTGTGTCTACGTCCTCTCCAGTCTATTTTGTCACCGCGGGCAGCAGGGTAACTTAATCGAGTCAGATTCAACTCAGTGGCCCTGGCGTGGTTCGAGACCACGTGCTGGGGTCCACAGCAAATTCTGTCAACCATCGGTATCCAAGGCATGTATTTAATGAAAATGCAAAAGTAGTCCAAGAAACTTGTGACCTCACGGCTCCCTCTACACGAGTTAATGCACAGATCATGGTTCCTCAAACCACCAAACAAGGTATTCGTGTGTATTCCTATTCCAGCTCTAAGATCTTGTAGCAATATGGGTAAATCGTTATCACCTTGCTTCTCAAATCATTAAATGAGATCGTAAGTATAACATACTGTTTTAATCGAGTCCTAATCTTACCCAAATTATTTGTTCTAAAAGAGGACTTTAATTTCTCCTTAGGGTCTCTGACGTTAGTCGAGTTAACAATGGTGTCGGAGTTAGGCTCCGATTGTGCCCCCAAATTGAGAAGACTCGATTGTCCCCACAAGTAGCCAAAGTCAGAAGCTGAGAACCGAGGTTTTGCATTCATGTGAGAACCCATCCCACCACCAGCGTATCGGAAGGGCAAGACTCGAGCTACACTCCCACTGCCGGTGGTGCCAAACACTGAGGAATTGACTCCTGCCTGTTGCCGTTGTTGAAGCCAAACAACGGACCTATCAATCAAAGAAAGCGATTATTAATCTTTCTCCACTTGCGAATCGTTCAATTACAAATGCTGGTTGTGTCTGTTAAGGTAGACACTTGCATATTAACAAACCATCAGCTCGAAAGACTATCTGGTGGTTTCTCAGAAAGGTAAATAATCCATTAGACGATATGTGATTTCTTTAGTGGGTTTGGATTTCTGTGGCTTCAAGCAATCGTAATTTGTCCACTATAATAGAAGTCGAAAATAGTGGTCCTGGGATACATAAATATAACCGAAATAGAGGTCCTAGCAGAGTGGTGTTGCTTAATGTTAGTCGGGTTGCATCAATTTTAATAAAAAAAACCGCATAATCGTTTGCCGAAAAATAATCCTTCAAATTAAGTTTCTTCTGGGGTTAAACAAAACCTAGTTTAAACTCCTACAAGAGTTACATGCAAATGCAAGAAAAATTAACGTATCTGAAACAGTGGCCGTTAACAGTGGAAGTTCATTTTCGTAAAGGCAGTAATTCGCCCTTCATTAAATTTGTCTGTGTACTGGACTAAGAATTCAAAGGTCAGCTGTGCCATAGTATTGCTCCTTTTGTCCGTCCAGAAAAAAGTATGCTTTAGGGTTGATTCCGACACATATTTTCGATTTGCGAAATGCGCAAAAAATTAGGCAAAAACTTGCACATTTGTTTCATGCCAATGTGATTTTGACACTTCAACATGACAGCCCTCCCTGAGACAGAGGAGAATGTGTTGTCTAGCGCACGCATCCAGTAAGCCAAACAACCCATGAACGTATCAAAAAAATTGCAAACTGTTATTTATCATTCAATTACATCTTTGATGTCATTTGGTTAAACTTAAAATGAATCCACATTTTCGAACGAGCTAGGTGTACCATCGACTACTAAACGCATAAAGATTTTATGTATTCTAAATTAAAACAGAATCCCGATTGATATCCGAATTCGTTAGATTTTAGCAGAGCATCTGTGCTCACTTTGCAAACATTCGTAAAGGTAGAGTTTAAACCCATAGAATCCTTTCCCATAGACATACCTGGTCCTGAAAACAAACTATTTCCATTGGAGCGCTTATCATTTATAGATAAAAACATGCTATTGGACAGCTGATCATCGACCAGTACAATGGCGCCACGAGAAATTGTCTTGTACTGCTGCACATTTGGCGATATGAGCACTCGCTGAGCTGCGATGCCAGACTGGTGCCTTTTTGAAAATTGACATCACCCGGGATCAATCCAGTAGGTGCGACATCATAGGCAAAATTGACACCTTACCTCATGATTTGGCTGACACACTACCTTACGATAGACATAACCAAAATTTTGGCTCAAATCAAATTTCTCCAAAAAACACCGCCCGGATTTCTGGTTATTTCAACTACTTCAGTGAATTGAGCACAATCAAGGGATGACAAAGTAACACAAACGTAATTGGCGTTTTGATATGGTTTGAATTGTTGTCTAATTTTCACATAGATGCCTCGATGTGTAATAAAATAAAATCGCTTCATAGGTCAAACGTAAGCAACTCGATAAGTGAGATTATGATCAGAAGAAAATGACGAAGGATAGGTATTACCTGCTGACTCCGAGACTAGTGGCCCTCCAAAAATCGATTCGCGTGGGGAATGGAAAGAAGAAGTCGGCCTGTTTCATAAGTTTAAGGCACCAGGTGATCATGTCAGTCTTACTGCCGCCTGTCAAGCTGTCTTCATTCTCCGTGATTGACTTTCCCGCAGCTTGAATCAGGGACCACGGGTTGGTTATGAAAGTCTGAACCTTGTTCATTAGACGCACAGAGAAAAAGACTTCCTTGGGACAAGGAAGGGGCTTTGAGAAGGTTCCCTCGGCAAAAGAATGCATTGCCAGTTTGTCCGAATCACTTGTATAGGCAATGCTATGGAGGATACGCAGAAGGTCTAGTAGCTGATCCAATAATTCTTTGCTTGTGACTTTGTTGCTATCAACATTGTCGTCACTAATAAATGAAGTCTGAAGGAAATGTTAAGACCGAAAGTTATTTCCAGACTAGCAATGTTTCCATGCATTGTTAAACAGTGAATCTGTAAATACTGATTCTCAGGTTAAATTAACAGTGCATTTACGGACTCAAAAGTACGCTGTTGTTAGCTATTTGTTGCCATTTAAACTGTGGTGCCAACCTATGTAGAGTATGTGATCCGTAAATTTAATGCAGAGGATAAGTGCTAAGAAGCTTGAGGCCGTCGTTAGTAGGAAATGAATGGCAGTTAGACTTACCGAGAGGAAGAAAGGAATGTTTTCTAAGGCAGCATAGAGATTTGACTCTTTGTCATCCCAGTGCAATCGTTCGTTTGAAATACTAGGCTCATTGACATCAAGTGCATAATTAAGAGTGTAAACGCGTTGCCAATTATCTGAAGTTGGGCTATATGGCCGTTTCGGCTTTCCACATCCTGGAAACTCTTCAGCCACACACAATTCTCGCTAAAATGAAAGCATGATATTTTTAGTTGAAGTTGAACTCACTTGTAAACGGCTTGGATTTGGGAGCCCAAAGCCACCTTAACCTGTTTTTACTAGAAAACCTTAGTCTGAATTACGACTACCTAGCCGCTAAATGCACTGTTATTTTGGCCTCAAAGCTTGTAACAACGTTGCCTTCGGTGTGCCCTATAGGCACAGGTGAGGCGGTTTTCTCTTTTTTTCACGTGGTTTTGAAGTGGTGCATTTATGTAGGTAACTTCGCACCCTTTATTGTGACACTAAAAGTTCACTGACGCAAAGGTGTGTGTGAATTTGAAGTTTATTTAGTTGATCTTGATAATTTTTATAGGGTTGTGCATCGCAGGCATGACCATTATGGATTCAGCCAAAACATTTATTGGTGACAGTAAATGCAACTTTGATTTTTAATGTTTGTGTCGAAAATGAATATTTTAATCTAATCGCCTGATTGAACCTACCGTCCAGTAATTGAAGAGGGACTGATCGTGCTTTGTGTTTGAATACCTTAAGGTCTCCGAAGGAATTACTCCTGTTCCACAAGGCTGATCTACATTCAGATCTGAACCATTTGGACTAAGCCACAGACAGATATTTTGCTTTCCCTTGTCTGCTTTTGCCTTCATCTGGGATTGAATTCCTTCAGGATCAAATGCTGTAGTGGATGGTTGCGATTGGCTTCCTGCTCTGGTGTCGAAAGGTGGAATAAAGCCTGGTATTACCGCATCTAAGGCAACTATCTGGGAGTGTTGGATACTATCAGGGCTACGTACGTTGGTGACACCGTCAGTTACGACTGTTATTCCTTGTGGGGCTGAAAGAAAATTGGCTTCATGAGGCGGAGATAAGTTAACCCCGTCACACACCGATACAACATCGGGTAAGTGTGTAAAAGACGACAATAGACCCTGTGTTAGAAAACACGAGGCCTTAAGAGGAAGTTCCTGACTAGTAGAAATTTCGCCGGGAGAGGACATAATAATCGGTCCAAAGAAGGCTTGTGTAAAACATTTTGACTGAGCAGGTTGTTGTAGAGCTTGTATAGCTTCAGCGGCCTAAAATTTAAAGAAGACCGAGGCCTCAACCTTGCATGTCAGCAGAAAAACAATAATATTTTCTCCCCAATTTTATTATTATGACCTCTGACGCGAAAACCATGCATGAAGACGTGCGTTTATAATTAATGTAAAACTACGTCAACAAGTGATTTGATGCTATACTTGTAGGTGCGTTAGTTAGTAATTCAGTGTACTTCTGGTGTCATCTTTCAAAAAGGTAACAGTTCGCATGATATGAGCATAATTTCCTTTAGTAATATCCTACGCTTACAAGACATTGGCGAAAATAAGAGCAAGCATACTTAGTGGAAATTTTACTAATGTTAGAAGAGCCACTTACATCTGGATAAATTCGCTGAACTCAATCCTCTGGGTACCAAGGAATTACCCAATTTGAAAAGCCGTATTTACAAATGCATTAACTCAAATTATCAGAAAATTACTCATCTATGAAAAAACGCTAAAAGGATGAGAATCTAAAAACTTATTCAGAGTCCAAAATCGAGTCATTAAATCGATAGTGCACATAAAAGTCCATTTTAGATTTAATTACGCGTACTCTACATAACACGTGACTATTAAATTGGTATCTAAAATGTGGGAAGAAAATTTGTACTTTTAATGTCTACGTTATGTATCTTTAATAGTTCAATCAGCACCCATGTCAGTTAAGCAAAACTATTTCTTTAATAAGCCTTCAAGTTGTCTAGTCCATAACGACCGCTCAACCTCTGTGTTTTAGAAAATTTTAATCTGAAGTGCAAAGTATTGAACTGTAATTTCATTAATTTCTTTTTTTTAGGTAGTAAACGTCTTCAGGTTAGAGCTCGTACGACCCCTTAGTAAACAATTCGACGATTTTGGACATAAGAGCAAAAGGTGTTATTAAGACGCCATTCACCTTTTTGTTTAACATGTCTACGGGCGATGAGGCTGTGCTATCACTTTGATGGAGGGAGAGCAAAATTGGGCTTGATACTTCGGTAACAGAGCCACGAGTTGCTTGCGACTTTTCACTATCATCAAGTACCACTTCGAGCAGTTCGTCTTCAGATAGTACTTTTTCGAGAAAGTTGCGCAGTACCGGGTGTTGGGGCTCAGGGAGAGCCAGTTCAAAGTGTGTCTAAGAGAATAGGAATATAGCCAGGGTAGTTTGGCTACTGGGATTTAACCATTTTAACTCTTAAAATCTTTATCCTACACATGAAAATGAGGAGCAAATTGCTTTAAGTGTAAAGAGTCTAGATGAGTTACGATAATGCCTAACTCTGTTCTTGAAGAACATTAATGTCACCTAAAGACCAAGGCGATTTTTCGTTCGGCTCAATTCGGACACTTCATATTTATGTTTTACGTTTCCTTGTTAGATATGGATGTGATAGCAAACTTTACAAATGATTTGCATTCACCCGAAGCAAAATCATAAGCATGTGTACGAAAGGACCATTCAGGAAAAAAATCATCTTTTTAATGAGGCTAGGATGAGATAGCGGTTCTGTCGCGGTGCTCCCGGTCCAGATTATCTATGCTGATGACATAAGAGCACAAGACACTTACGTCAGCACTCATTGCGTGTTTTTTTACTTGGCTGGCGAAAATAAACTGATCGGGTTGCCGGGACTCCTCGTAGAACTTCTGATGTGATTGATGAACGACCACGCACGCACAACACTCAGCCAGATTTTCCACAAAGACCGGTTCAAACCAAGCCACCGTGATAAGGCCGTTCTCGAGAGGCGACAACACCAACCCTAAAAACAGTGGTGGCGATGGCGTTGACAATCGGGAATTAACTTCTGTTCCGTCTTGAGACGTCGTCGGCCAGTTTTCCAAGAAAGACTGAACCGAGTGGTGGGGAAAATTTGGTACCACCAAGACCCCTGGTTTAAATCTCGCCAAATGTGCCGTCGTCTTTTTAATCACACCAGCCTAAATTGAACCGGGTCTTAGTCATACTACTAAGGATGCAAACGTTTGAGGAAACAATCAATCACCTCATCATTTAGGGAAATACTTTTCAAGAGGCCATAGAACTCTACAGTTTGCAGCCTGAGCTCATTGTCTGGGCTATCAACTCGCACGCATTGTTCCGAAGGAGAATTTTCCGAAAGAAATCCTTCCTCAAGTTGAACTGCCAAATTACGAAGGCCAACCAATTGGTAAAAGCGGTACGGAATCTTTTGAGGATTCACAGCCCATATTCGTTCTCCTTTAGACCCCCAATAGGAATTTGGGGATTCGCCTTGAGGAAAGACATGGTGTTCAGAGAGCAAATCCCACGTTACATTATCGGAAGAAGCCTGCATTTAAAATGTCAAAGATTTTCCACCTTAATTTTTTTCTATGAAAACGGTAGACTTCAATTTCGAAGTTAGCCTGATATGACTCATAACGTTAAATTGTAAGAGAGTGCTACTGAGTCTTTAAATAAAACAACTAACTTCGTCGAAATGGTCCACCTGATTTAAGTGTAGTCTGAAATGGGAATGAAAAGTGCCACATTGCACGGTCAAACCACAACTTGAGCAGTAATAATGCGTTTGTGCCAATATTTAACTCAGCAACCTACATCAAATTAGCTAAATGAAATTTGCTGCTGTTAACATAAATGGGTATTTATGATTTTTATCCGAAGTGTAGGAATCGCCTTAAAAATGTCACTAAAGATTGATTTTACATTTTATGATGCCCTTCTAGGAAACCGACCGAATTTATTCGATGAATAAAGCAAGCACTTTCAAGCCACCCTAGTTCAGTTTGTCGAGATGACCCGTCTAGCATTGTATAAAGTTGCAGCGTCATGTTCCAGTTTCAACCCATAAAGTGGCCGTCTTTTAGAACTTCAGATGATAAAGATAGCCTCATCGTAAGTCCCCCTAGTCGTTGCTTAAATGATTAACTGATCACCTGACAGTCCACGAACAGGCGAATAAAAGTCAATTTTGAGGCTGACTTTGTCACGCGAGCCACCTCAAGTCTCGCCTGGAATTAGATTTGTTTGTGACATTGCACCTACTCGGTAGTTCGAACTGGGGTGAAAATCAAATTTTCTCACGTCTGTCTGATTATTACCTATTCAACAGTGAGTTGGGATATCAGGATAATCTACTCAGATAGTTGACTGGTTGGCACGTTTTACTTCTAAGTGTGAGGCCTTAGAATGGCAAATAGTTGCCAGGAATTAAAACAACTGGACGGTTTTGTTATATAGAGAAAATATCGTACAAGAAGCTGCCAATGTTGTAGATGTGGCCACACACTGGCTGATACGGGCACCTTCACCCCATAATGGCTAACTTCCAACATAACTTTCGTATCAATAAAGATCCAAGGCTGGTTCATGAGTGGAACGATGTCGTCTGCAAGACCGCAAGTGGAAACGGTTATTGTGCTGCCGGAAATAGCATCAGTCCTATCCGCTAGTGGTTCTTCTGTGGAGAAAAGCAGGCGGCTGAGATGAAGTGGGCGATTGTTCATTTTGGCGTCGGACGTAGTGATCCGTAAAAGATTTCTAATTAAAGTCGGATTTATGCGATTTTTCGGTTCCCGGCCTCCATTTGTGCTAATCCAATGGAAAAGACCACCAGGGTAGGCAGATGTGTCGAAACAAGCCTTCACTTCTGAGGCATCCACTTCGGGGCTGGCAGCCTGAATAACAGTAAGAGATGAGACATCCCGATCACCCTCCCCCCACACACACTCAATAAATTTTTTTGTTGAGCCAACTGTTTATTCATTTAGTGCTCCATTAGCGCTTGTATTTGCTTGTATTCTTAAAAGTTACCCCAGAAATAACAAATCTTACTAACTGATAATCTACATATCTGAATTTCTATCAAAATATACGAAGAACCAGCTGATAACTTAGTAAATGATTTATAAACCTCGTAGAACAAGGTGTTATTTATTTATGGTGAAATTGGTGGTTTTCTAGCACCATGTACAGAGCTAAGCTCAGTTTCATGAATCTGACCAAGTTTAGTGAATTAGTTTTGTGGTTGTGCCAAGATTACTAGTGATGAATTTGGAGGGAGAATTTAAAGATATGAATTTGGTGCACTTTGCGCAATTAATACCACATTAGACTGAGAGATAAAAAAACCCAAACGGATAGTAGGTCTTCTAGGCAAACCCAAACATCTCTTCCGCAAGACCGCTAAGTCGGTAGCGAACACGAAACTAGAAACTGAAGATACAATATATATTTTAAGAGCACTGAAATGACAGAGCGGAGGAATATTCGCAGACACTGTCTCTTGGGTATGTTTGGAGAAATATGCCTACAATCTAAACAAAAAATCCAGCGTTTTGTTTCCTCAGCAAACCTCAGCGAAAGTTTCCAATAATTAGCGAAAAGCTCAACATCCGCAAAATAATGCTGTTTTCGAACAGGACTACATATATTAGGTTTCACCATCCCCGTCTCAATACAAAGAAACGCTACTAAAAGCTGTAGATGAATTAGTTGATAGGATCAAATTCTGAGATGTAGAACGTTCGAGAGAATCTTGAGGCATTCAAAGAAACAAGTAATTTAACAGCAAGTAAATAACTTACGTTTTCTGACGGCGGTAAAAGAAGGATACCGTGAGAGGTTTGGGTGAGATCGTGTACGAACTCCATATTCTCAAGAGCATCGGTGTACCTTAACAGGAGGTCGTACACATTCATATGCACAATAAGACTGAAGGGTTAACCTACACCGTATTTTTCAATAAAATGTCAAGAATTCATTTATATGGAAAATAATTAACCCGGAATGGAAGGTTAGTTAGTTCATTAAAGACCATGGCAACACCCATGTCATTTAGGATGAAATGTTATCCCGGAAAATGCTGCCAGTCCTCCATGATTTTACGCATGTATAAGCTTCGAAATTCATTTAATTTAGTGTATCTTGTAATACTGACATACTTCCAGCTGCAAGTGGTTTAAGGGTGGTAATTTACCAGGGGGCTGTGTTAATTTTTTCAACGATCCAGTTCCGAAGCTGATCAAAAGTGACGAGAGGGGCCGCGTAAATGCGGTACCTTGAGAGATCGATCTTCCGTTGATACGCATAGTTGCCACCAATTTGTAAGGCCTGGGTCTCCGTATTACTTTGTAACTTCGGTTTTAATTGAATTGATCGTTGCACCAGCTGTTCATATGGACCAGTAAGGTTGGGAGACGTGACTGGATATCGTTCAAACTGTATGACAAAATTGAATGAAGACGCAACCTTAGTGATTTCTTCAGGATGCTCATGTGGTAAAGCAGATGTTTGTGCAGAATGACATTTCGATGCCTTGGCAAATGTTAATAAATAAATACCAAAGAAAATTTACGGCGGAAAATTGATGGCAAAAGGCCAAGTTATCACACGCCTTCAGGAGGAACTTGAACTCGTTTTGTTGAGTGGTGCTCCCAAGGACTGCCTTCAAAACGATATTCTAATTATTTTGTAGCGAGATTAGTTTGATCGCAGGAGGCATTTCGCACCACATGCTGCTTCTATATCATTATTGATCATCTAAGTGGTGCTGATTTGAACCGATCCTTAACCGAGATCGGTTTTTAAAGAAGTGGATATAACTTTTTGCAAAATAGCACATTCGAGTAGACCTGTATCTAGTTAAATAACGGACTGAGAGGAAGAAAGCAGGAGTTGGAAGTAACTTACTATTTCAAATGTTTCGATGATTTTTCTAATGAACACATGCAATGCAGTCCCAGTTAGAGATTTCAGAGCGCTTAGTTGAGGTAGAGGTGAATAGTCCTGGAAACATAGGTTCTGAAGATTATAACGCTGTTGGCGCTAGAAAGAACGCAAAATTGTCGAGAAAATTGGTAAGGGTATATAAACTCACAACACGTGCTTTGTATTATCTTTGTGTACTTCTCCAGTGAGTCGCGCTGATTCGCGTTCATTCACTTGGTCGTCGCATTCTCCGCCCCACTGACCTCCTTTCCAGGGCACCCCTACTAACCACGAGAAACCACATGCCCATGCACCCCTGAGCATGTACCTCTCCCCCACACTATGCGTTCTAGTCATTTGCATGGGGCAACAATCCCATCATTCAGACACTTTTCATGTGCAGTGGCGCGACAGTAATAGCTATGTTGAGCTGTCAAGTAAACGATTGTCTTTGCCCTCCCTGGTCTTCTTGTTTTCTCGGGTACCTGAGTGGCGTAAATGGACCAACTTTTACTCAGCGGCCATGGAGGTGGTTCAAGATCACATCCCTGGGCCCTCAGCACATCTTTGTAGACTTTCAAAAGACCCACATTTTAAAATTAGGAAAAAAAAAACAAGAAAACGTTAATTGGAAAGTAGGGGAGGTGTAACATAACTGACTGGAGTGTGCAAAAAGGATTTCTTACCTTTAGACAATTTAACATAGCAGGAACGACTCCTGAGGAAACTATTTCATAAGGCGTGGCAGCAGCTAAACATTGGAGGATGGTGGGACACCACGACACCTCCAATTCTTCATGCGATTTGTTTCCAGAATCAGCAATTACTGTACAGGATTTGGCGACATTCATGAGGGCGATCATACTGCTACTGGGCTCTGTGATAGCATAAGGCTTTAGAACATTGAGAACCTCAAAGCCTCTTTGGATTAGGCATTCACGGAGTCGTCGAAGGTAATACGTATGGTGACTAAATTTTTTTTAGATTTGTAAATTAAAAACTTGCACACAAACGAAGAGGATCAAGAATTGGCTGACTCACCACGCTCGAATGTACTTTCGTTGATAGAAGCTCAGTGGATCCAAAATTGGATGAAGTCTGAGGAGCAAGACGTAAGGTAAAAACCGTTGGCATACCTCCGTAATTTGGAACTTCGTTCAAGCGTATTGGTCTGGTATATCAAAATCCCGTCACTTCCATAAACTCTTATACCTCCCACACGATGAGGTGCAATGATAATTTTCGACTCTCCGGCATTAAAGGTAGCATTCAGTTGAACGTGGGATTGCTTGGGCCTTTCAATCCAGTCTCCGGTAGGAGGCTGATAAAAGTCAGGGTCAAAAACACCCATGCATTCTATGTGGCCACATGAAATGGGGCTTTCGTCGTCTTGTGCTTCAAATGCTCGCAAATACTTCTCTGCCCCTGAGGCTTTATTCAGACTAAATACAAGTTCTGCTTTGTTAAGACTCAATGAGAGGAGGCCAGCAGTTAACCGACAACATGTACTTTCAAAGTTGTTTATTCCAGTGCAACCCTCCGGGATCAAGTCACTTTCTGTGGTGCCTGAACGAGTCCAGGTGGATTCAATATCCTCTGCTTTCGCCGTACCCAGGACAGGCGTGGTTAAATCAGCAACAAATGGGTCATTAATAGAAGCTGAGGATGATTTGGAGAAAGATGCATTTACAACGGACGGCAATTGTCTAGAGGGTGTGTCCTCACAAGATATATAGGAAGTCGTTGTTCCCGGCTGCGTGACACCGGTCGTATCCTCGTTCCCTGGAGAGGCAACTGTTGCAGAACCAGCTGTAGTTTCTTTAACAGAGGAGGCAGCGGTGAGAACTGGTCGTTTTGGTTGTTGTCGTTGTGCAGCACCACAAACGCATTGCAAGGCCTCACAATTAGTTGGTTTGACATGAGAACCGTTGAGGGGCAATGGAATGATACCCAAGGTGCTGGAACGAATCTTCTTTAGGTGAGTCTCGATTTTCGGCCAAAGAGAGTTCAATTCTAGAATTACATAAACGTAACTGGTACCACATAATGGCAAATCCTAACCACTGTGAATGGCGTCAAGTTATACTGATGATTTAAAATTCCTTTAGCAAAGAGTTGTTTTGCGATATTATACACAAAGTAGACGTTTCCACTTCCAGAATTGACAGTGACGGTGCTTTTAATAAGTAGACTTCTATAAAAAACCATCTTGCCGGGTTTTACATAACTACTCTCAAATAAAGAACCAGAACCTTTTGACACTAACCCAGTTTTACCAGCGATGCAGGAAATCCTCACAGACTTCATACCTTCAGGATCGCTTATTTGACCACCCTCCGAGCTTGAACACAGAATCATCGTTTTCGCCACCAGCTTTCCCGGGCCTTCGCGCTTTGGAAACTCAGTTTTTTTCTGTTCGACTGTACGGGAATCAGTCACGATGGTGTCCGCACGAGTGAATAGGGTCACCACTAGGGTTGGAGTTGTCACATGGTCCATGTTTAGGCGTGGCGTGACCTCAATCCACAAGGCGGCATACGCCTGCAGAACTACGAGTGAGGAGTTTCCAGTGCGGAGAATGGTCCAATCACCGAATTGGTAAGGCTGACCCCAACTCAGTTCATAAATACACTGTGGTTTTGTTCGTATTGATGACTTGATGTGAGAAAATAAAGCGATATTATCGGTACCATAATATTTACGTAGCCAGTTAGCAAAGTCTACATGTACATAGGCAATGGGGGAATGAATATCGGATCCAGGGAATCGGATTACTTTATATTTTTTTAAAAATATCGAATTACGGCATTCAGATACATGGCATTTGTAAATAGTAAAGAATTAATAAAATTTCAGCTGCTGCTACCCAAAGGCAAGGCGAACAGTCCTCATACAGTAGAAATCATCAGGACCACAGTGGTCAGTCAATTTGGCAAAAAAAACTGTTACCAACGGTTATGAGGGATAGGGTTGGTGCAACAACACTTGAACCGATGTTAACATTTGCTTCAAAATGGTAGGCTCATTCCGGTGGGTCATAGCCAGGAATCAAACAATAAATTCATGGTGGAAAGGACCAAAATTCAGACGTAATTACCTTCGGTTCAGAATTTGTGTACGGTCTAATTTTATCCACAGTTACTACATTGACATATAGCGCGTCAAACGGCCTAGCGTTAAGTAGGAACAACCGTCCAAGTCCGTCACTTCGTTATACCCAGCAAGTAAAATTTACGTTAATACATGCATACGTACATCCAGAGCAGGTCCTATTAATACTGAGACTTGGGCCTTAAACTTGAGCGTGACATCGACACTGGTGTTAATCGTCAGTATTGCGGCTTCCAGGTCAGTGGAGATTAATATATTACAAAATTAGGCACTACTTGTGGATGTCACTTACTTCAGTGAGACCTCTGTAAGTTTTTAAAAACAATACCAATTAAGAAAACTCACATTTCCAATCGAGCGTTTTGCAGTCTGCTGAAGTACCAGCTAAAATTTAGCACAAAACAATTTTGCCAGATAGGTATGTATGTCATATGGTTTCATTTATATCATAATGGAAATACATGCCTCTGGTTCAGTTAGTTCACCGGGTAAATATTCGATCCACTTCCCCTCTTTTTCGGTCTCACTTTCTGAACTCGCCTGGAGAATAGTTTCAGCCTTTAATCTCCATTCGAGAAAGTCAGCCACGCCATGTCGCCGAAAGCCCTCCACCATGCCGTCTTGACCGATTAGCGCCAAAATTAATGAGAGAATTTGACACACCTCGGATGGACTTCCCTGTGCAAGATACGGAAAGTCACGTGGTAATTTACTGGGATAGGCTTCACTAAAGAGGCTATTCGGTAAGTGCAACTAGCAAGGACGACTTTGTCCCAGTACAGGATGGTCAGGTCTTTAATAATTGTCGGGTTAAAACCTTCGTTGAGGCCCTTGTGAGGTTCGGGACCCACACTGGGGACGACGATTGTGTGGACCCGTCTGTTGGGGATCCACAATTCCCCAAGATTGATTTCTTATGCTATTTACATTAATTCACTGACATTTGTTTTGTTACGCTTTTTTATCAAGTCAAGGTCAACCCTGACTTGAATTAGTTTTCGCTTTTTCGATACTGCACTCCGCACGTGGCTGACGTGAATAACGCTCTCTACACGAGCTCTGGTCATGTTCTTGTATTAGCCTGGAAAGGTCGGCTCTAGCTTCAGCAAGGGATCTGGTACCGTTATTTAAGTGGTCTTCGCTATTGTTACGGCAAAAGTAACACCGTTTTGGTTATGCAGAAGCTCAGAAACGACGGAGGCAAAAATTTTAGTAGATGGCTCAACTCAGTTGCATTTGTGTCGTATGCGTGCATCCAAGGTCGTGCATTCCTCTAGGTATCAAATGTGACTAGGCGTGACATGGCCTATGAAGATCGTTGATTAATAGTGTTAGGATGAACTGGTAAATGTACAAGACCCCAAGTGACCAGACAAATGAGATGGGTGGCGCGGGGGGTGTGCACGGAGGCGCGCGATGGGACGGGTCCGCATCAGCGATAGGGGACACTGTGAAAAGGGGAGATGTGTTTGGGTGTGGAGCGACCGAGTTGATGGACGTAAATCATCAGGATTCACCCTGCACTCAACCAACAATATGAAAAGGTCTTCACGACCTGCATCTAACTTGTTTGAGGATATGAAGTATGAGGTTCTTCCGAACACTCAATGGCCAATTACTCTGAACAATATTGGTTTTCTAAAGATACATCTCAATCAAAAATATGTTCTAGAATGCAAAACAAAAGCGGCGTCTTACTTGATTGAGACCCGATGTTATGACATTGAGAAGTTGAGTTTGCAGTGCACTCTGGCTACTTTCATTCCCTGAATCTCCAATCTCTTCCATCAAAGCGAGATTCACCACCGCATATCCTGTCGCGGAACGACAGATTCTGGTAATCAATCGAATCGCCTGCAGTCTACAATAAACCCTGTGAATAATAAGCATTTGTCGCACCTATAAATTCACAGATAATAGCACTTAATCTTGTAGGCTTGGGATCTAGGGCAAATTTCAATGTTTACTCAACCGTCAAATTTTAAGCTAACTACTGAGCACTAAGGTGAGGAAACAATGCCTGTCAAATAACCCAAACAGTAAAATCAATTAATTTCACACCCATACATCTGAAATTATTTTCTACTTTACTGAACTTCGTGCAGTGGTTCCGTTTTTATTTCAGCTCATAGTAACTTAACTCTGCCTAACTAACCAGACAAACACGACAACTTAACTCTGCCTAACTAACCAGACAAACACGACAATAATATTTTGTTACAAACGTGCCAGTAATGGTCCAGAAAAGAGGTTATTCCATTGAGGTCAAATCAAGGTCACTTCAAAGGCCAAAAATACCAGCCATGGAAGGTACCAATTAGTTATCAATGCTAACGACGGAGGATTAGTTTTGGTCAAAACTATTGGACATATTTTATCAGATAAATATTACTAAAGTCGACTCAGTAGAGATGCCGACTGAAACTGAAGCGAAACCACCATACATGATCTGAGACACATGCGGTAACTCTCAATCAATCCTCTACAGACTTGCTGATGCATTACTATTGAAATACCAAATCAAGTAACAACTAGTGGGATCTAGCAGTAACGCGGTTTTCTCATTCCTCGTTATGCTGTCCGCATTTCCACTCCGTCCATACCAATCTTGCTAAACCGTCTACTCATTCACCCCTGTGCGTGTAACCATGACCACCATTAACAGAAACAAAAATATATGGTGACAAAATAGATCGACATTACACTCGCGTCTGTAGAGGACACAAGGCTTCGATTATGTTTAGCAGCATGCATTTGAGAAATACCATTTAATGCTGCGACTGTCACCGTTACCCATTCAGAGGGCTAGCCTTCACCTTAAAACTTGCATTACCAGTGTGATAAGCTTACTGAGTTTATCCATCGAGAGGCTATGAACTACAGTGAAATTATTGCCTTACATTGAAAACCGCTGAGCAACGACTAATTAAAACGATGGCGATTCTCAGCGTGTAGACGCATGACACAATAATGCCAGAATCATCTAAGGATTCAATTATTTGGACCGATAAGTCCTGCCTCATCCACCACATTCCCAAGACGCCGCCAAGTTGGAATGCTAACTCTCCCAGATCAACGATGTCTTTACTGTGTGGGGAAAAGTTCTATTGCCAACAACCATCACAACTTGACTCCAAGGGTATTTGACGCTGAAAATACTCTCATGATAAAAGGATACAACCAGAAGTCTGGTAAAGCGATGCTTTTAAACTAATCGAACCACAATCTGTACCCATTTTTAATACTATAAAGTTGCACAATTTATGATACTTCAATAAAAATTTGCTGTTTTGTGCAGTGTAAAGCAAATGTAAAGGACGCGTTGCTAAGTGAATATGCGAAATTCCGCTTGCCTTATCATTGAACTCATGCTTGTTTTGTACACCCTCAAAAGCAGTGGAAGAGTTAGAGCCATAAGACGTCCAATGGTGCCTTCTCGAAGAACTTTAAATTGTGATTTGAACTCTAAGATCAAGAAAAAGTTTCTGCAACAGTTAATTGCTGGAAAATATACAACCGCGAACTCATTCCTCTTACGTTCAAAAATGCCAGTAAATAAGTTACTATGATGGTGTGAGCTGAATTACCACAACAATTGATACGACGGGACCATAATCTATAATGTGAACATTGATTAAACAATATCCTTCAGAAGATAAGAATTTCTACATCGACGATTAAAGAAAGACAGTGAATTTATTCAGAATTATCACATTTAAGTAAATGCAGCTTTTTATTTCGATTTTTATCAAAATGTCATCACTGACAAGCTCACATTTCACATTTTAGACATTCACAGACTTTTTTCCTGTTTTATTTCTTGCGACATTCAAAAAAGAGATGCAGATTTTAAAAAAATTAAGGAGATCGCTTAACTGTCCAGCAAATGAGGTGGACTTGTTGAAGTTAAATTAGTCTAAACGGCTAGTGGTGTGCTTAAGTAGCAGTGCGGCAACCTAGTTTTACCAGAACCCGAGGCGTCATTCAGTATCCATAAATAAAATCAAGTCCTAGAAGCCAAACAACGGAGTCCAGATGAGAGTAGAAATCTACACACGTGAAACAGTAAGCTCAGAAATCTCTTTTTACAATTAGCTCAACACTGTGTGGTGCATTTCAAGACAACGTATAAAGAAAGTGGACACTTGTCACCACGAGACGTGAATGGATATCGCATTTAACTTACTTTCCTCAGAACTCTTTAATAACACAGCCAAATCTTTTTGTTTACAGCACTCCCTGGGCAGGCGGCCATGCGAATCAAGGAGAAGGGGATTTACGGCCTGCGCGGCGCATCTGTTACCAAGTGATAGAAGATAAAGCAATGTGGTGCGGTCAGCCTTGGAGGCAGCCACATGCAGGGGCGTGTTCATGAGTCCCGCGTTAACATCCGACCCACGATTGACCAAAGCCATCATAGCAGAGGGGTAGTGACAATTGATTGCCCAGGAGAGAAGTGACTGACCCTCGAGGTTAAGCCAAGAGCTTTTCAGTTGCACGGAATTCATTGCTGCTATGATGTCAGCTAAGATTCAAGAATTGGTCAAAGAGCTTTGCAATATCTGTGTATGCTGCAATGTTCTTATAACCTATGACACGAAACACAATAACGAATGTTGGCCAGGGAAGGACTTGGAGTAGGGAATTTGCGACATCGTGGCCAGCGCTCTAAGCTACGACCATGATTTCACTGATCAAGAAATTGTCTTCGACATATATTTCCTACTTAAATGCACCGATGTTCATTATAGAGCAGACGGTAGAGCCTCGGAATGTGGTTTTGGATAAATAGTAACGCTTTTTCAAAATTTTGCATCAAGAGACGAGGTGTCCCATGATCTGCCTCGCTTACTCTCAAACAAAGTCCACGTAATATGGAATTGGATAATATAATTTGTTAATACCAACACGATGACAATATTTCGTGAGGCGCATTAGTTACGTCAAATTTTTGAAACCTAATGACTGCTAATTAAAGCCCAGAGAGCGGTCAAGAGATAAGACGATGAAACCGACTATCTTATTTTACCTCTTATCCAGGTTTCCTACTTGACGAAAGTAAGCATCGGGTCACGTGGAAGCATCCCACTTGACACAACACCTTTGCAATTTCATCGAATTCACAAGACATTTATCAGTCAAATTCAAATCCCGATCTCGTATAGGCTCGTTTATCGCGTGTAAACCGTGATCAATTTCAGCGTTATAGGCTTTAGTCTTCATTACCAGTAATGAGCCATTTGAAATTAGGAACAATTCCGCAGAGCTTGAGAAGTATGCCACTAATTTTGATTCGATATATTAGGCTTATGACTTTCAACTCATGTGGAGTTTTCTACCAAGCCAGGGACATTTTAGATTTTCTGTTGTTGCTTATGTGATACCTTTAACAACCTCTCTGCAATCTACCACAGAAATAAATAAGCACAATCAAATTTAATAATGGCCTTGATCTGGTCGTAATCAACTTCAACGAAATCATCACAACGCTAGTAATATTTGAGTAAGAAAGCCCCAGATAGGGAATTTACACGACTTCTGAAACATGAGTTCTGGAAAGTAATCGACACCATACACTTCAAAAATAGCTTTGTGAGCCCCAGCAGTTTTTTTCTTTACGGAAATAACAATGCAATCTAATTTGAAAATATCCATTTTGGAACTCTCTGGCAAAATAGAGCCAAAGTAAAAGTTGCAAACAAATTTCAACTTAAGCTAAGCTAGGAGTTGCCGTTTTCAGTTTTAAAAGGGAAAATGGCAACACTTACAAAAGCGTTCCAGAACAAACATGAAGTTGTACATTTGATAGAGACAAAGTTGCCTGTCAACCCACTAAATATGCATAAATATGCTAGGCGGCGCAGATAACAGTGAATCCTAATTTTTACTAAATTTATAAATAAGTGTAGGAACACTTTACTGCCCAATCTTACAGTAAATGTTGGAAATGCGAAACATTATTTGAAATACAGATAAGGCATCATCCGATGGTAATATTAGTCCGATTACAGGAAGATAGGCCTCAAAATCAGTAATAAGAGGGACAATAATATTATGGGTAAACAATTTTAATGTTGATCTCTGTGAATTAACAAAAATATGAAGCTTGTGTAACTCAAAAACAGAAAAAAATGGCTCTACACTTATGTAAGCATGAAGGAGCCTGAACCTACGTATATTTGTTTTAATTTCCATTGCACGCTGAAGCCAGAGATGGAAGCGAAGATTTACGATATCGACGTCACTTGATATACCGAGAACGTCCAAGGAGGACCGAAACACATTGAAACCCTGTCCTATTAGAGGGATAAGCCTGAGTGCTAATACTCACCATTCACGTTTACACCTCGCAAACGGAGATATTCATGGTAATTTTGGCATGTCTTTTTCGAGTCATTATTGTCCATCATCTCCTCCACAGGGGATAAATGGAAACTTGGAGAGGGTGTGTTTTTGTCAGAATAAGATATGTCATCACCCAAAGACATTGTAAAGGCAAAGTAGAGCAGGCCATCTAGGAGACTGAGGATGGGGACCATAAGTCCCGTCTCTAAGCCAATAAAAACACGGACGAAGAATTAGTTGTTCATTGAGCAGGAATATTGGAGGGTAATAATAATTGAGGCTTGGCACTTTTGCTAATAATAAACGCCGAACTAAAGACTCTAACTCAACAACTGGATGGGGGACATAGACCAGGAGAGATTTTGCTTCGGCGAAATTTGAATTTCAAAGGTTTACAGCAAAATAAGGAAAAAATAAGGCAAATAATTTATTACTTTAATAGAAATGAAAACAATAGTAAAAATCCTTTTGATAAGCTTACTGAATGGAGATATAATCATTGAGCTTTCACTCGCCGATTCCTGTGATATAGGAGGAGTAGCTGATTCCAAAACTCCTGATAAAATACTAGGAAATTCATTCATAGAGAGCAAAACTTTGAATGCACTTGAATTCTTATAGCATATGTCGAGAATGAGGTCGACAATTACTGCGGCTAAAGTTCCGGTGAGGTGGCTTTGCATTGGGTGACTTGAGCCACTGTTAGGGAGCGACACTGTGTCCTCATGAACTTCAGGATCTAAAATATTAATCGTGGCCATTCATTCGGCACATATAAAATGCAGTATTTATTGCCTCATTTTCATTGTTGCTTCCTTGGTCAGAAACCAACCAACAAACCTACAACCAATGCATGATAATTACTCTAACCAACTGTGATATACGGAAAATCGGGAGTCAAATCGACAAAACCAATTTGCTGCCACACATTAAGTAACCATTAAATTAAAGATACGGCAATTATTTCAAGCAGAATAATTTAAAAAATTAAGACTTTTCATACGCGAGTGTCCAAATATATCCTTAGGTAGTTTAACGTCTGGGTCCAGCAAAACAAGCAGATTCTGCAGCAAATGACTGTCTTCCAAGAACTTGTCCAAGGGTTTAAGACAATGTGATATTTGCAGGCACGAAGTCACAATGTTACGCAAGCTCTCGAGACTGTAAAAAGAAACGCTCAAGTCCTTGTGCCGAACCAGACTGACCAAGTGAAATATCCATCGTTGAAGAGATTTCATAAATGAGTTACATTCCAGATTCTCTACCATAGATTCTTTGGTTTCCTCAGTGTGTCTGTTGATCCAGATATTCACACAGGCTGACAACCGACACACAACATGCAAGCCAGAACTATTGCAGAAAATAAGCATGACATTTAAGTTTATAGAAATTTTTCCGTATTTCGTTTGAAATTTTTAATTGTTCTGGCAATCATGGTGACTTAAATCGCAAAAAAGAGAGCTCAAACTTGCGTTTGATTTCACGTTTACCACTAAATTGACGACCATAATTTAAGTGATAAGAACCGCCTAAATGGTATCACAAATGCTAATACATAAATCAATCAACGTCTTTGGGGAAAAAAACAAAATCAGGCTGTGGATTATTACTGCTACTGAAACAGCTAAAGTTTTCGAGGTCTATGGTAAGGACTTGCAAAAAACCTTTACATGAAGTTACGGAATTCATTAGCATATGATATCACTCATATCATTTTAATCCTCACAAAATTAATCAAGTGAAAAATGTCAACAGAGATAACGTTTAACTCACATCAGTGTATCTAGATGAAATTTGTTCCAGTTAATTAAAATGTATTCCAATATATCAGGCATCGAATCAATCAATTTTGGAACACATGAATCCCTCTTAGCACATTCCTCAAGAATCTGGAAGATTAACTCATTCTATTGCTTGCCTTTATAATTTGTTGAGCCAATTCTTTCTCGATATAAACGTCAAGATCGCATAGCAGTAACCTTTGAGTCACAGCACCAAAAGCGGATTCATGTTCAGATAGAGAAATTACAGTTTCGAATGGCAAAGTTTGCAAATAGTATGTTAAAACGCGAGCCGTCGCCTCAAGTATTGAAGTTTCCAACGCAAGATCAAGAAAAAAATTTACAAGAACAGGAATGAAAGAAGAAGGAGGATAGAGTCTCTTTAGTGAATCTGGACTGTCAATCTGCAAAATTATGCAGCAAAGCTGATCCAGTGCTGCCAAATTAAGATCTTGGCAGTCTTTATTATGCAGTAGGTCCAAAATAAACCGTGCTTCCATTTGCAGTAATGACTAAAAACCTATCATCGCGCGTATCTGTTTCACCGCGTGAAGTAACAAAATGACAGATTCAAACAGCAAAAGTAGCAAATATGAGTAATACTATATGTAGTACTTTCCTGACTTAACTTTTCCCGCTTAATCACTAATAATCTAATAATATCTCCACTATAGATAGTTAATATATGCACTCATTTGCTTAAAGGAATCAACGGGATTTTATCAAATCTGGACAAACTTTAGGCATTGGAATCATCTTTTGTAGCTCAGAACCAAAATATTTCAAAGCATACTTGGTCGTTTAACTAATATTGAACCTAATATTTGTTTTTTATTTCGGAGGTTATTTGTATTTTGGTGAAAATTTAGATAAAAGTTGGGACGCTTTATTTTCGACAAATAATATAATTGCCAACATTGTCCTGTTAAAATCAGAGATAAGACGAATGATGACATTTATGGTATTAGTAAAAATGAAGTTTTATCAGGCAGATCACACTTCACACCTTCGCCCTTTTGATTTATTCTGTAAATAGTGGTTACTATTCCATTTGACTTAAATATGTCTGCAGTTGTGGTCAAAAATGCAGGTCTCTTGTCCCTAGCTCCTTCTTCCAGCTGAATGAAGTTTCACGTTTTGGTTTAGATCTTAGACGTCGATACCCATTTTTGACTTATAGTGCTATAGATCAAGGTCAAATTCGCATGTTACAACTTCTTCGCAGTAATACTTAAATTATACTACGAAAAAGTTTGTTGTCCAAATTTTAAGTGGAACTCCTCTATCTTCCTTTGTGTTAAAGTTAGTAATAAATTGGCATGCTCACTTAAATAATGCTGTATATGATTACTCAAATTCAAAAAATATGGCCTTTTAAGAATGTATTTTGTTGCAATTTTTTAGGAATTGGTTAGAGCTTCCGATGTTGTCCTCGAACTATACCGGAGCAAAGAGTCCTTCTCCACGTTCAAAGCATCACCAGTTTTTTGACAATAAATATGAATAACTAAATAAAAATTATCGCTGGTGACCACTGAAATCGATTGAGACCTTATTAATACCCAAAATCAAATCTAAGTTCATTAAGTTATACTTATATTTGCAAATTATAGTGTATGTTTAATTGGTGTCTGATTATGTAGTTTAGGGAGAACTGTTCATCGTTTTGTTAGGCCCTATTATCTTAGATCGTCTCAGACATTTCAAATCTAATATCGCATTTGACTGTTTATTGTCAAGCAGTGAAATAAAGGCTCCTAAATATTTTTTTGTAACTAAAATGTATCGGCGAAACTATGCGCAGAAAACTGATTTTAAGCCTATGTTCAGTGATCAAGTAGGTATAACCAATAAAATATTTACGACCTTGATTATTTATATCAGCATTTGTAAATAAAGCCCTTTTTGAATGGGGAAAATTAATCTTTTACTTCGTTAGATCTTACGTCTTGACGTCAGCCTATGGAACTAAGTACCTTTTTAAGCCATAAATCTGCCGAAACTGGTAGGGATGTTATGGTAAACGAAGTTACCCTAAAAGTATATGCTTCTTCAATGGTTTTTCAAATTGAGTTATATTAGATACGTAACTGGATAAATAGCACTGGACAAAGCCTTCTTAATTCTCACAACTCTAAGCCTGAAAACTTCAAGGAGGCAATTAACATTCGAAAACAGCACGAGCAACTTGAATTCAAATGCTTGGTTCTTTATTTCCTATTACTGTTATAGTCATTTAGACTTTCCTTGCTGAATATGCATCTGTTGGTGAATTTCGAACGCATAGTCCTTCAAGCGATGCATTACTTGATTTAGATCTGGACATTCTTGCCTTTATTGATAAGCTCAATTTCAGGACCTATTTTGTTGTTTCATGTTTTACGTACTTCCGGGAACACGATGAGGTAATTGGCACATAACAAGTAACGTTTAGTTATGTAACTTTTTGGTTGAAGTCGAAGGCGTGTCAAAAGCTGTCAACTTATCTGATATAAGATCTGTCGTTAAGACAATCAAGTGCCTTGATCAAGCCTTACAGACGTCAAATACAAAAATAACCATACTTTCACGCGAATTGGAGCTTTTGAAAACTATTCAGGGCCCAGAAGATGTTGAGTATTTGTCTCGACTTGAAACAAAATATGAAGAAGTTTGCAGCTTAACTGCCAGAGCCCAACAAATAATGAACTTGAGGAAGCTGCTTCTTTTAAAAGAACAAAGGGTAAGTTAATATTTTTCGTCATAGCCACTCGTTCAAAAGTTGCTCTTATGCATTTTATTAGTTTATTAAGGTATAGGTAAACTGGTATTGTTCATATTTCTTGTTGCTGTTTATACCTTGATTTGGCATCAAACTTGTTTATGTTCTTTTCATACATTCGTTTTCTAAGCCATGGGTGAACATCTTAAGATCCCTTTCTGAATTACGAGAGCAACACATATATGTTAAATGGATTAACGCAATTCTAATTATGGTGTTGCTTATCGGATTTGCCTTGTTTTATTTTCTAGATATTAGAATGTGAAGAAAAAATAAATTCATCCAAGATAAGCTTCGACAATCTAGTAGCTGAAGTCTACCTGAAATTTGGTAATTTATTTGTGGGGAAGTCAGCGTTGGAAGCGACTCAGCTTGCAAAAACATATCAAGGTTATGCTGAAAAATTGCAGGTGAAATTTTCTTACATAAGTCAATATTCTACGGTGTTTACTAACCTATATTAAAGTTACGCCTAATTTAGGTCATGCATGATGATTGGAAACACTTATTCGACCTGTACTGCCGAATGTGCAATGTCGACCATCGAATCACGAGCAGGCCTATAATTGCAACCAGGACAAGACTTCTAGGACAGTATTCCAAAGTGCGTGAAGAAGTCGAAAAATTACGCATGCTCACTGAGGATTCTAAGGCTTTTTATGCTGCAAATGACTCGGTTAGCAAACCCTTACTTACTGCTGCCCATACATTATGCAGCAAATTTGCTAAATGTGATTTTATTCTCTTTATTAGTTACTCGAAGCGGTTAGTCAGGGGCATTTTCCTGTTAATGGCATGCGATCTACTGACGCAGAGACGAAATCATTGGAAAAAATGTCAAGCGATTTTCAAAATTTGAAAAAAAAGGCGACGATACTAATAAGCAATGCTAAAGAAGTTTCTGAACGGTTCGTTTTATTATACTGCAATCTTTCTTTGCGAACGTTTATGGTATCTGAGGATTTTTACAACTGTTATAGTGGTGTTTAAAGTTCATGAAATAGCTGCTTTTAAAGCAGTTATTTATTAAAAAAGATTTATTTTCATCAAGTTAGAATACCTGCTTCATTTTAGTTATGCTTCGGAGTAGCTTTAATTGAATTTAAGCGGTGTCGGAAGTAGTAATGTAGTTAGGGAATTAATATTAGAAAAATATTAAATTATTAGATTGGTGTGTGTTTTGTAGCCTTTACATCTAGTGTGTGTGTTCCTCATACCCAATATGAGGATTCTTATTATTTTCCTTTGATTTGATTAAAATCAGCGATTTAATGATTTAGATTGACAGCAGCATATGAAGAAATGAAAGCGGACATTCAATTAAAAATATATACGATTTATCTTCAACTTCGAGAATATGAAAGAAAATTGTGGGGTGATGTGAAAAACTTCTTTGATTGCCCCGACGAACTTATTCCTCCTCGGTGTCGCAACACTTCACATGCTGTGTCACAACAAAGGCCACAACTTAGCCAGTCTCTTCCACAACTCGGGTCGTCGTTGGGTTCTATTATTTCGGAAGAAACGCCTGTTATTTCAAAACCTATCGTCGATGGAGACAATAAGGTCGTGTCCTCCGAGCAACGCAACACAAAACGCCTTGATAAGGTAATTCAACCATTCCTGTGTGCGCAGTTCTGCAAAATGTTTGAGGTGGTTGAAGTTGAACCGTTTTCTAAATAATATCTATTAAAGGGGCAATTTACGTGAAAGCAAGTTCTATATTTAAATATAGCACGTTCCTGTAGTGGAATCAACTAAAGGACCTTTGCTACCTTCGCCGGAGATCTCGCTTACCTCGGGGATGTTGCGTCCTATCAGTAAATCTATTCTTAGGCGTTTATTACGCAGCACTTATAATATCTGAGTTGGGCTGCGAATTTCTAAATATTAGTTCTGAAAAAAATGCCTAATTTCAAATGTTTCAGTTTTCTCGTCGGCTGGCAGGCTTAACAAATACTTCTCCTAATCGTTTGAGGCCTTCCACTCTGAAGGAAGTTGAAAACCTACTTCAGAACGTTGAAATGGCCGGCCGCTTGGCGGACATGGAGTGGAGAAAGCTCTCAAGCTGTCTTGACAGCGAACGCGATCTAGATGAAGCTGGGTGCCGATACAACGCATGGCAGTCGGGCTGGCTTCTAAAGCGCGACCACTTGGTCAATCATAAGCGGATACTTATGAGTGCTGCAGAATTACAAAACACCATGGACAATTGCAGGCAACAGCTTGACCTCCTTGTTAGTATTGCATGCAATTGCAATGAAAGTGAAAATGCAAACAAGTACATTGAGGAACTTAATAGGATAAACAAAGACGTGATGAGCCTGCGGAAAAGGGTGCCCGTAAGTCCTTAGTAGTAAAATTGTAATCACTTCACGCATGCTATCAGTAATTCCCTTGGTTTGCCAAAGTTTCTTGAATTAAGTACAGACACTTATAAATCACTGACAAGATATTTTTGGAAATCTTTTATGAGAGTGTTTGCATTATGCGCTTATACAGTCACTTGTAAAAGTTTAGCAGTCGTAACCCCGAAATTTACTATATTAATCGTTGAATAAGGAATCATTTTAGACTTCTAAGTGACGATCATGATACAGAGGATCCAATTAGAATTTTAACTTTCTCAAACGTAGAATAAGAAGGACAATAGAATGGAACCAATACCATCACCATTATTCAAATTTTAAGTTTTTGATAAACCGTTGACTTTAACCTACGTACTTACCTGAAGGATGCCAACTTTAGTTCCATTTTACCTAATCTGTGGATAACGTCAAATTTGTGTAGAAATTGTGAAAAATAATTGAAATAGGGTCGTGTATTCTTGATGCTCTGGATATTTCTCCTATTATCGTACAAATTACTTTTTAAATTCCATTTCCAGGCTCTAGAGAGTCGCCTCGATGGTCTTAATCAAGAAGCAAGAGTTTTGTTCAATTCTGAGACGCCACCCTGTCTGCTCAAATTAAACGAAGATTGGGATAATTATCAACAGGTTTTGGGTGAAATTGAATCTCTCCTTGCCAGACTAATTAAGGTAAGTTTGTGGAGAAATATTGTCCACAATGATGTCATTGTATGAGACCACATTTGTCGAAATGATATTTTAGTATAATTTAGACGATTCTTGTTGTACTTACTTTTTTTATTATTTTATGTCAATTTAGAGCTTGTCAATTAGAAGTGCTGTTCTTAGTCAATAAAAATGGCCGTTTAGTGAGTGTAATTAAATACAATCAATGTGGGATTTCCCCGAGGTGGTTAATGCGCACGTGGAACGTCAAACAGAACAAATGACTATCTTTGTCTTGAGCTAAAATTAGCAGCTGTCAGTAATATTCTGCGGATAGTTTTTGCAATTTTTGCTCAATTTTTCAAGATGTTACAGGTTAATGAAGGCTGTGTACATGCCTTCTTACTAGTGCTTCATCAAATACGTTGAAGTGGAAGGCTTATCAAAATAGGACCCAATGGTTGCATATAAGCCTTAACTCCATTAAGTAACTAGTCTCTTTGTGGTATAAAGAGTTAGAAAGGATTGCTGCCGTAGAAAGCGACATGCTACGCAAATGCAGTCAGTGGAATGAGATAAACCAACATCATTAATTTACTTTGAAGGGCAAATTTACATGACATATTATGTTCCCCAGCAGCTCAATTATAAAGTTTCGACGCAAACCAGTTATTCAAGGTGCGATGGCAAATAGCCTTTTGAAATTCACTTGATATTCTCAAAAAGGCTAAGATAAGAGCAAAATAGAGTAACGAGTTCACAAGGAAAGGCTCTGACTTCCCTTCTTTCCCTAAGCATTTGGATTTGATTTTAAGAGACTATTAAAAATGAACACAAAACTGAAAATCTGTTTTTGAAGTCAGCTTTAGCTTGTACTTTGCGCATTAATGCTTAACTTGGAATCACTTTTACGTGTCTATTTTGCGTTTTATGATAAAATAGAGAGTTCATCAGCTTCTTGATAATACAAAAAATTGAACGAGAGGAATAGCGGCTAATCAGCAATATCTACTCATCTGTATTTTAACTACTCTCCCAGAGCTACTAAAGTTGTTATAATGCAACTTGTGTACTGTTCAATTATCACTATAAGCCGTTGGGGTTGCTAATTAGAAAAAAAGTGTGTATCATGACTTCTGACCAATGAATGAAAGTACTCATACGCGTAGGGTCACAAACTTAGGCACGAGTTCATTTTGAGTGCAAAGCACAAGGTCACATTCTGGTGTCATTTTAATTCTTCAAAAGACCATGATTCAACCTGTTTTACCCAGGGTACCAATCTTCTGGCAGCAGCTCATGAATTCATACTCGTAATGAAGCCTAAACTTGACACCGATAATCGCGATCCTCAATTCCTTACTGACGTGCAGGTAGGTCATCACTATTTTACTTTCTTAGCGATTCTGCTTGCATTAATGTCCCATGACCAGTACTGTATGCGGAAGGCCATGCTTATCACAGATATGAAGCCTAAACGGATTGTAATGTAGTGCAAGAAGCAATGATGCAAAAATGCATTTTTTACTAACTTACGGGTCATTTTGGTCTCACGATACTAATTAAAGGCCCACGAGATCCTGTTTATTGTTTAAAACATCCCCATTGTTTCGCCTTCTTCTGTAAATGAAGTCCCCTACTTAACAAAGTGATATTTGTTCCACACTTAGCAAGAAGCAACTCGACTACAGGAACGCATTGAACGTCACCTCGATTCCGGAAGCCCGAATGAAACTTTCTCCTTGAGCACATTACCTAACAGGTGGCTTAATGAGGGGTTACTATCGGCTTTGGGGCCATTAAAGGAGGCCAGTGAAGAGGCTGAATTAATGGTCACCAACTTGAATGATCGAAGCAACACTTCTCACCCTGAGGCCATACAAGAAAAGACAACATCAGATGGTTCGTCGTTCCTAAAACAACACCAATTTTCATTAGCACAGCGATGCCAGGAAAATGAAATGGTTGAATACCAACTCTCAGAAGGCCAATCATCAGACAACGTTTTAGAGCCTAAGGAAGCTGGTTCTATGAGAAGTAATCACTGTATGTTTTTGCTTGACTTAGTGAAATTATTTTCTGAAAGAGAGCCGGTACTTGCCAATTTTTAACATGTTAGCGGAAAAAAGCTTTGCTTATATGTTCTGACATTAAAACCTAGTTTGACTGGAATTAGGTACCAATTATCAAAATGACAAGTTGTGCTTTTCCAAGGAATTAAACATAGGCCTCCTTCTTGAAACACATGATTCGAATGACGACCTTTGGAATAGTGATCGTTTCTCAACTAAATTACCCGCGGACAAAACTAAAAGTATTTTGTAAGCCAAATGTTGTGTGACACGATAATCTCATTGTTCACAATCGCTTATTATTTCCTAATAAAGCTCCCCCAAGTAAGGCTCCTGATGGAGTTTACATGATATCGCAGTTAGAAGACATCAGCACCACACCTGGGAGTTCTGTTGGGATGCGCTGCGCTTTCAGTGGATTCGACACTCAGCCGATCGTCGACTGGTCATTCACACCTGCATTTAACATCAAAAGCGATGCGATTTCCCTACTTGCTACAACATCTGAGGTCTACAGTGATATGCGCACAACATGGCTTGCGATTCCCAATATTCTTTACAAGCATGCCGGTAATTACTCGGTCACGATTACCCATCCCCAGAATGGTGAAACATTAAGTAGTTCAGGTATGTTTTCCTACTAACCAAACATCAGTACCGAAAGCATATCATATTTCACATTTTTGTTTTTCAGCTAAAATACACGTTGAATCAAAGTTCAAACGTGGCCTGTCGGATGTAACGGCAATCGTCGATGGAAATAAGTGCACGGTTACCGGCAAAGTTGTTGAATTTGTCTTGGAATACGATGGATTTGATAGGATACCTTCTCTGGTAGTCTGGCTTCACAATGGCAGGCCAATCGACCCAACTAAATGGGCCGTGTCTGTTAGCCCATTGGCTACGCGAATAAAATCCGACTGTCTTAAATCAGTTGACGAAGGGCAATACACTTGCCGCGTAGCGGACAAAGAACTAGGAGTCGAGCTAGAGTCATCAGGCAAGAAAATACACTGATATTGTGAAAAAATTTTGACTTTGAAAAATAAATACATTATATCTTCCAGAGGTTGCTACATTTATGGTAGAACTTGTTCTATGCCAAAGGTTATTAGGACCGATAGCATTTAAGCTACCTTTAGAAAGGTTTTATGGAAGAAACCAAACGCCCAAATAATTCATGTGTTTCCCAGAGCAAAGTGTAACTTCCAAATAAAAATCATGAATAGTCTAGCATGCTTTAATTCCTTTCAATTGCTAACCATAGTCGCATGATAACAAATGAAAGCAAATTTTAATGATTTAAATTAGGAAACTTGGTGGTCATGCAAACATGCTGTGGAAACTCAAAATAGCTTGGTCGACGAATCTCGTGACAATTAAAACTTAATCCCTCGATAAATTAAGACCTTCGCGTTGTACAATGACTCCACCTATGAGGACGCTTTTAACTGGTGGACTATTCCACTCACGAAATGGGAAATGCCCAAAGTATTTTACCAAGAACCGTTTTATTTATCGGCAATTTTTTATTACAGAGCTTTCTTGCCCAGCACCGATAAACTTAGAAATGCATGCTTTAAACATGTTTAATTTTACATTAGCATTCGTTACTTGTACTAAGAGTAATTAGTTGTTTAAAGCTGAAAAGCTGCCGAAGCATACCTCAAAAGTTGAATAAATTAGCTCAAACACAAGGAATGAATGAATATTTTTGCTTATTTATTCTCAGTTCCAACTTGGAATCAGCAGGTCGAAGAATGCACGCACAAAGGCCGACTACACTGAAACTAAAAGTTCTTGGTTTTTTTAAACTCTATATATAATCTATCATTCACAGTCTACCGATTATTTATTCCTTTCATATATTTAACAGCCATCATTATTATAATAGCAACTCTTAGAATCAAGAATTCCCTCGATATACCTCTACCTGCCTCTCGGGCCTCTTCTCGTGCTGGAACGCCGAGCGGAAGTGGAGGATTTCCGAAGATTACTGTTGCACTAGATGGCTGCCCTCTGGCCCTGAAATGTCCCCTTCCAAGCAGTGCAGTTCAGGCATACGATCGAGCCCGTCGCGTTCGCATGCGCTGGTTCCGTGATGGAACCCAACTCTACGACTCTGACTCCCGCGACCCAGACTACTTTAAGGGCGCAAAGGGACTGCAGTTCCTCGATGGGAACACGTGTTGGAATGCTGGCATTACTGAAAAAAAGGAAGTACTGCTTTGTACGAACAGGGTTCGATCCGTTGACGCCGGAGTCTACTCGTGTCGAGTAGGCATTGATGATGACGTCTACGAGTCTTCAGGTATTGTTTGCCCTGGTGATACCTTGTTTACTGGACAGCTCACAAGGGTGCACATATTAACGATCACTAAACTACCAGGGCCATAAGCCTGCCTTTAATGAATCGTTAACGAATTAAACTAAAATATGCATATTTATGCATCATTTAACACTAACTCCTAACTATGACAAGTAGGTTAAAAACTACAGCTCATGTGTCCGACAATGATCTGCACTAAACATGCAGTTATTCCGTGTAACCAGGCTCAGTTACATGTGCATCAGGTCAGTGTGAAGGACCTTAAAATAGGAATGCGTAATTTTGTCTACCGAATGTTACTTTTTCAACAAAGTAGCCGGAAAGTCAAAATGCTAAATTAGAGACAGTTGAATTTTTGACGTATTAAAGAGGTTTGTGGTACACGCAAGTCATTCCAGAAAGGACCTGGCAGTCTGTTTCGACTGGCTCAGGATGTGTTGGTGTGTATTTCTGCAGGCATCCTCACCGTGTGTTCAGGCCCCCAGTTCGTTGAGCAGTTGGTTGGGACAAAAGTCTACCTCGGCGAGCCCGCAGTTCTTCGCTGTCGGGTTGAGCCCTGGTTACCGGGAAGCACTCCAGAGGAGGAGAAGGAGACTACAATTACCTGGTACCACTTTGACACCCCACTGTCGCCGGAGCTTCAAGCTCGAGTTGGAATCAAAACGGAGTGCGACGAGGGCTTGTGTACACTGCGGATTGAGAGAGCCTCAAGACGTTTTGCTGGCTTGTATAAATGCGAATCTAAGAGTAAATTCGGCATCTGCGAGACCAGTTGCCGGTTGCTCATTGACCGTACGTCGCACCCCATAAATGTATAACCTTTGATTGTAAAAGTAGCGCAAGTCAATACGTTGGTGGTAATCAACGTTACGTTCATTTGGCAAAAACATTGCTTCGTGATCTAAATAAGTTCTGCTTTTAACTGGGCAGTTTTTATTGCCTATATATTCACTTGATGCCCAGTGTGTTTTCTTCGCAAGAAGATTTACAGAGTGGCAAAATTGTTATTAGGTCAAAAACGAGCTATTTACTTGCCTTAGCGACTGAAGTCCAAGTAACAAGTTATAATTATCTCTGAAGCGGAGAGGTCTCCTCGAAATTTCTCTTCTTTAAAATTAGACAGCTTATGGCTGAAATTGGGAGCTGTGTCATTTAGAAGCATCTCTATTTGATATGCCAAATAAGCCCCTTTTCATGTGAAAGTACAAATGAAAAAGAGCTGGTAATAACTTAATCAGCTTGGTTCTGTTAACAATTTTGTACAAATATAAAGGACATAAGGAGCGTTCGTGTTGGACTAGACATAGACCGGTGCATACGATGCTTGCCTAAACAATGCTTGACTGCCCAAGTCTTGTTTCCCTGATGATACTAAAAAGTATTTCCTTTATTTATTTGGATCAAAATTCTGCGAATGATTAATTACTGCAGTCCTCTCAAGCAAAATTACTACAGAATTTTATTACTCTAACTTTGCTAAGCTTTTTATGTAAACTAATCTGGATAATGTATAGAGCTTCAGTAATATAGGCATAGGTCTGCATTACCTCTTACTTGGACGTATAGAGTTGTTTAAGTGACAAGCCCTATTGTAAGCGATTTTTCGCTTTTTTGATGCACATGCTTGTCTACAAGACGACAGTGGTTGGTCACTCTCGGTACCCTGTGTTCTAGGAGCTGATTAGATTAGTCGAAATTCTTTGTTCGGCAGGAAGCGTTGCTTCAAAATTTAAAACTTCAGAAATTCACTCTTAATCCAACAGTATCTTTTTCTTTGCTGACGTACATGTTTTTGCAAATCTGGTCTCCCACAGTAGCCTCATCCTTATGCAATTCTACTCCTTTTGATGCATAACAGAACCGGTTCGTCCGACAATTATGGGTCCAATCCAATGCCTTAAAGATGCAAGTAATGAGGACGTGGCAATCCTTCGAGTAGAATACGATGCTGTGCCTCAACCTGAAGTCATGTGGCTGAAAGACAACCAACCCTTAAATCCAGAGCCAGATATTCAGGTATATCAGAACAAGCCTTTTTAATTGATGCCACTATCTCCACCAGTTGATTTTAGTACAAATCATGTAAAACAGAATCTACAGTCTGTAGGGCTTTAACAATATTGATTTTAGTGAATATGTAGTTTAACTCACACATTTATATGTCACATAAGCGTGTTTAAAAGTTTAAGGGAAGTGTTATTCGGTAAAACTACTTATTCTATTAGTAAATACTTACAAAATTTTGGTCCCTTTGTATTGGTTAACGCATCAAAGTCAGTTTAGATCATGCCATGAATTTTAATCAAATGGAGGTGTAGATATGTTGAACTGAAGCGGTAAAAATCAGTAAATATTCCGCAAAAAATTAAAAAATAAGTTCAGGTTTGTAGCAAACTAAGTCTGCCTGTTTCCGGTCATCTAGTGAACGACTCTAAGTGATGCTTGGCATGCACGCCAGATTTGTAAGATAACATTAATAACATGGTAAAAGTTACATGCACACTTTCGCTAATGATCGTGGCCACTCTTTACACTTTTGCGTAAGTGCTATTAATGTTTGCCTCCGAAGAAATTACGGGCTTAAGTCTCTTTAGCGTAATAGAAATGTACTTTTCCATCGTAGATCACAACTTCGAAGGATGAAAGTCAGCTGCGCTTACTGAGACCACAAGCCAAAAATAACGGACTGTATGCTGTTATTATAAAGAATGTTGCAGGATCCACTGAGACATCGCAAAACTTTGAATTCGGGCAAGTTTCCTTTGTGCTAAATAGGCTCTTTTTGTACGGTTCGTGTTCCTCTCTGTACATACAACGAACAGCCTCAATTAATAAGCTTTTTTTAATTTTTGAATTAAAATAGATTTTCACGTACGAAACCTAGTCTAGTATCTAAGGTGAAGTGAAAATGCCTCTCAGTGGCACATCACGGTCTTATCTGATTACGGCAAAACATTTGTATTGGTACTACAGCATGTAAACAATCGCAAATCGTGTGATACAAAGCCTATTAAATATCTAATGAATAGAATTTTCCAACCTTCAAATCGCTATTGCTTCGACCCGTTTTTTCTAATATTGAGAAAAAGTTGACGATTCGTCGGATTACCCCTTACCCGGGTAGCGTTCCCTTCTTTAGATCATATCTAGGTCAAACCAGGCTCCATGACTGCCAATTTTAATTTAAAGGTCAGGTACCTCAGCGTGTTATGAAAATATTATTTAGGTATTTGGAAATGAATAGTTTAGCTTTAAAAGTCCCTAAAACGCAATGTATTTTGACGTTTCTTCAAGCAAATATTGAAGAAATGTCTTATCTGTTATACGTAAATATTACGCGCTTACGTCGTTTAGTTTGTAGTCAACTTCCGAATACATGCAGAATTGAATGGCTGCTAGAATTTATACATTATAAAATGACGCTGTTTCATTCCTGAACGAGTAATTTAATTTACTGATGGTTTACAATTAAACGAGGCCTCTTTGCATCAATTTCGGACCATGTTGTATGATAACTTTCTTAAATAATCAGCGTCATGTTTGCAGATTACTGTGAACGGCAATATTTTAACAAAGAAATAAGAGGCCGTAAATTCAGTATTCCCAAAGTCTACATAGGCAGTGAATTCCTGGTTAAAAGTGGCAGGCGGAGGTGGTGGGCAGGGGTTTTATTTGTCCGACCATCGGAATGTTGTCAGTTTTCCTGCACCACATTACAAAATTGCAACAGCAAAAGATGTAATTTTTTTGCGTAGCCACTTAACTGACCAGCTGGTTTTCACATGAGGGTGTCGTTGAGACCAGCATCTGACTTTTAGCAGCCACAGACACTAAGCAAAGTGTAATACAACAAATGTCACTTTCATGTCGAACTCTATAGGCTCATGTTAGCGCCGATCAATTTAGTGCTGGCGACTGACTATAGCAGTCTGCTTATTGCTTTTGTTGACTACCTGCTAAACGAGTAAAAAACAAAGAAATTATCAAAAGGAAATTTTATTCCATATATTACTGTTGGTCTTTCAACGTTAGTTTATTTTCTAAGAGTTGTTATAATAAACTGTCCTTCTCACTGGGAAATACACCTAGGTCTTCGACATTGTAAGGTTGTTTAAAGGATACTTCGTGTGCTTGAATATAAAAAAAACCATCATGTGCTTAGCATAGCCGATTTTTAGAACCTCTAGAGGCTAATTGAACTTGTTCATAGTCAGTCACTTCAGGGAAAAATTTGGGTGAGTGATTTTTTTAGGAACCTTCCTGGTCTCTGTCACGCTGCTTTTCTCCATTCCTTAGTTTGATAAATGGACTCTTGAGGTTGTGAAAATTGCATATTTAAATACAAGGAAATCGTGAGAAGGACGGTGTCAACTGACTTCTTGTCTTTACTTCAGACAAATGCTAGTTTGTTAGGATTCATTTCTATAAACTTCGGATTTCCTGTGGCATTACAGCGCAGCTCAAGAGTTTTATACTTTTCAAAATGATAGTATTCACAATGCTTTAAATCTTACCTATCGAAGATGACCAAAGTTAGCGACATTTACCATCACCTTTGACGTCCTCATGGCATTTTATCCCTCCGGTCACGTAAAAACAAGTTATGTGCTAAATGATTATTTGCCAAATTGAAAAAAAAAACATTTTCGAGGTTAGTCGACATTATTTTGTTTTGGAGCATTCATCTTCGTTCATTTAATGGCCAGCCGCGGTCGACAGTTATGAATAATTGAATAAATCCAGTCATCCAATCTAGACACTTCTCAGTCTCCTAACATTGCAACTTTCGCTTGGATAAAGCCATGTTATGTGCAATAGATTAAAATGTAACGTCAAATATTTTTCAAGAACACCTACCTGGAGCTGGGTTTTGTGCATATGTAGTTTGTTGATTATTTTGTTCGCTTGGTTGTGGCAGTGAATAGGTACGTACCTACTTAGTCACCAGTGACTGGCACACGTTTTCCACGAATTACGAGGCCACAAATAATAGCTTTACTCTTCGGAACTTTGCTTTTAGACTGTAATAAAAATCGGCTTTCAAGTGGCGGAACATAATTCTCGAGTGAGGATTGTGTTTTAGGGCTCCGAAACTATTTCCAGCAACATTGAGATCTGAAATATTTCGTGTAATTTAGAGAAACTCAATTTGCGTGTTGTCTGAAACGGTAAATGCTGTTTACACGTTGCGTAAATCGACTTAAAATTGGATCATGACATTGCAGCATCGATGCTCTCTGACGACAACTAAAATCGCTTATCGTTTAAGAAACCCATTTTGTAAAGCAGACAAGCTCCGCGCTGTTGAGGCTACCATTATGCAACCTAAAATCGGTAACTCATCTTGCTTAATGGACAGCCAGACCAGAAGGCTTAAATGTGCATGTTCGTTTAGTGATATTCTCGGGCAATTTTCTCCCAGAATACATTTTTTGATTAAGAAATTGTTTGCTGGTCCCTAAATATTACCTCGTCCGTATTGTAAATAATCATGAACAATTCTAACCGATAATCTATACACTTGTTAGCTAACTAGAATCATTCGACTTTTTGTTTCCGTGATAAAAAAAGACCATTTCAGCTTGAATCTCACTGGCTTCAAGATCTTCCTTTTGACTGTCCGTTTGAACTGTGTTTAGGTAGGAATGCCTGCCTTATTAACCGCAAAAGTGAGGCAGTTAGCACTTTTTGGATGCTTTTACCTGCGGCTTGCTTTGCATCGAATAATCTTGTCAGGGTGCACTGCCTTAGCCTTACTGTTTTGCGAGCCAAAAATTTATTACTGCTATCTTCGGCTATCAGTGTTTTATCACAGCAAAAGCTTCATTATTATTTTGGGGTTTTGACATTTTGATGCTTACCAGAACTCCTAATATGTTTTCATTCCCACAAAAGTGTTTTGTGGATGTTTGGCCCACTAGCCTGATTGGCAAATTGAACTAAATACTTTTAAGGAACGAAAGTGTATTGGCGTTTTTTTTCTCGTGATAATCGCAGCTGCAGCGGCAACTTGCATGTTTGGTATCCTGTCCAACAGAATACATTGAGTATCCAAATATTTGTGCCTGCGAGGTAGCACAGCAAGGCAGTCACGATCGATTACACACTAATTTTATTTAGATGTTATAATTAAACTGGGAAGTCATAAAGCACTTTCACGTTGCATAATCGACAAATTCAGTAAGACGTATTGACGGTTATTTTACAGATTCATGTAGACTTCCGTAAATTCCATCAAAAATTTGTAAGTTGCATTCTCTTTTTATTAAAGTGGATCAGCACAGCTTTCTGATACACCGATGCCATCCCCCCTACACGATGACAATCTCTCTCTGGACTTACCAAGTACTGGTTCTTCATTCGATCCGGGAAAAAGTCAAGGCTCACATCAACCGGTTGCACATGATGGCGATATCCAGGAGGTTAAGAGCACAACGCTTCCCCCCCTCCCTGCCCATCGAGAACCTACAGTCAACAACTGCCAGTATAACACCTACCCTGCACTTTCGATACAGCATTCGACCAGTCAAACTGTCACTACTCGTTTGGTACAGGAAGGTGGTTTGGTTAAAAGATGGAGTTCAGAGACCTTATCGACTTGTCCAGAGGGAGTCACTAAAGCTAAACAATGTCTTGATGCCTGTGGCTCTTTTCTCCTTCGACCGCAGAGTATATCTGCCAATCCTGGAGAGACGGTCATTTTCAGTTGCCTAATTCGACCACCACCAGGCACGCCGAAAATTCACAAAGTATCCTGGCGACACAAGAACTGCGATTTAAGCCAACACAGTAGTGAAATGCCGCGAGTCGTTTTGAAGGCAAATGACCCTTGTGATGGAGTGTTTCAACTTCAACTGACTAATATAAGTGAGGGAGATCACGGAGACTATGAGGTTGTGGCACTGGCTGCGGATTTGACGGAGATATGTAGCGCGACGTTTAATCTATCTGTTGATGGTAAGTTGATGGATATATTCGCTGACAAAACTTACCTGATAAATCTATTTGTTTTTTACCATGTGGACTAATAAGGCTACGTATAGATAAAATCCAAATATTATCTAAACTCATAAAGAAACACCAAAAATGTTGCTACCCTGAACAATTTTTCGATTTCTGAGAATGTAATTTTTAAAAAAGAAGTTAGTGTTTATCAGGATACCTTGCTGTTCAGTCCTTTAGCTGACCTACTCTCCTCGTAAATAAGAGTGGTGTCCGTGGTTTTTGTCCACGGTTCATTTGCAGCGAGTTGATATTGAACTGCGGCAGCACTTGGCGTCAATTGTCTAACTACAATAAACTCCTGATAAACTGTACTTTACTGCTAAAAGATCAGATCACGTAAAAAGGGTTTGAGAAATTACCATTGCTGTTCATAGGACTTTATTATTGCTTCTGACGTTAATTGGTTCCAAAACAAATCAAGGCGTTTATTCTGAGTCTTCGTTTACAATTTCATGGCCTATTTAAAAGTTGTTTTGTGAGGTGAAAGATTCCAATTTCAAATAAAGTCTAAGTAAAAGAGATATAGGCAACGCACATAATGAGCCACACCATCGACGTTTTTTCCATGAGTAGGCCTAAAAACAGATTGCAGGTAAACATGATTTAGATATATTTTTTTCTAGGGTAATTGGGCCATTTGAACACAACTTTGATTTAATTTAGAATCAAGTGATTCATAATGCGACCCAAGATTCTGACAATTCCCGAGAGTTAATTGGTTTTTTTCCTGTTTCTAAAATCCCTCTTCTCTCGCACCTGCTTCTTTGGCTTCGGTACGTTGGTTGTGCTGTGTTGTACACTTGCATGCACTGTGTGGTGTGTGGTTGCTGCAGTGTTTGAGCCCTGCAAAATGAATCCCAAGCTCTGTGGGTCTGCCAAATGCCGACACAAAGTGCGTGTCACGTCAACAACTACCGTCAATAAGCCTTTCGCCCTTAAGCGATACTCCGCATCCTTACCTGACTTGTACGAAATGAATTCCACTAATGCAGATTTGGGAATGGAATTCAAATATTCCCTTGACAGAGGCACCTCGAAAACATCATGTGCACAACAGAAACAACAATGCGCGAATGATGATATAAAGCCTGGAATGCACACTGATAGCCATGCAGGCCGTTATTATTTAACCGATTCTGGTCGCTCCAAGTCGTGTGAAAGGAATCAAAGTCGAGACATTGCCACTCCTCCACTAATTTTTCGGCCCAGTAAAAGGGGATTTCGCAAAGGAGCCCAGTACCAATCCTTACCAACTCTATTTGACGCAAACATTACCCACACCTCAACTGTGCTGACGGAGGAATTTACGGTCCCCCCAAAAATGACATCTCCGAGTTCCTGGTTGTCACCCGGCAGATCAAGCTTCAATGCTGAAAGTAAGTTTAGTGTAGTGGATCGGTTTGGCAGGGAACTCTAATCACCAGCACCCTCTGCTGGCATTGCAGTGGCCATCACTTGCATGCTATTTTGTTCGGATCTTCATCCATTCATTCAAATCTTCACAAAATATCCATGTTTGCTCTTATCACCGTTTATCGCTCGTTTGTATTGGTTCCAGTCTAATAATCAGTGCATGCCTTCATGTTCGTTCAAAATTTTGGCTAAATTACAGTGAACCTGTGTTATCAAAGTAGGCTGGACCAGATCCAATGTTAGTTAGCTTGTGAAAGATATCTTTATCTTTGACCTTAACAGACCAAGGACACACAAACCGCCTCTCAATACTGGTCACTAGTTTAGTAGATCATATTGCGTGGTAGTTTTATTTTCGTAAACTTTCCTACGATCACATTTGCAGTTAAATTATCAGATATCATGGCGATTACGTAACTAAAAATTCAGTTAAAATGGCAAATGCAGGTTTAGTACCCCTACAGCGAATTGAGTTGCTCAGAAATTGTCACGTTCCGTTTGATAACAAAACATTTCGGTAGATTTGTTCTGCAAAGTGACCTTTGATGCCCCAGGTCCTGAGGGACCCCATAACCATCGTCACGTGGATTCATGAATCAACGTTTACCAACGTGAGATATCCTATTGGTCAACTAAAATGGTCTTGTTGGTGAATTTAACTTGATTTTAAAGTGACGTACCTAACTTGATCACACTTTAAATTTAACTTACTCTGAGCAGTAGCATTTGATTAAATTTTGCTATCAGAGTTAGTTAGTGAACCGGACACGACAACATGCTAACAGGTAAGTGATTTGGTACAAAGAAACCCAAGAAACAATCTTTTCAGGTACTTTGTCCTGTATTTTGTAGCTGCATGCTTATTTTTTAAAAAAAACTACACCTTTTGGTAAACTAGACTAGTTAAGATAAATGACTAATGATTTATTATTCGTAGTCGATGAAAAAAATTGCAGAAAGGGAGAGAGAAAGTTGTCGCAACGTCACAGCTTCTTCCTTGGAAGACCTTATCTTCCCTCCAGTGCTACCGTTAGTGTTGGTGGGCGGCTGGAAGTGAATTGCTACATTTCCGGGTATCCGATACCACAAGTGTTCTGGCTTAAGGACGGGCGCCAAGTGAAGGATAGCTACCCTGAAGACGACCTTCAGGTATTTGTGATGTACTCATTGAGTCGATTTTAATTTAGTTTTAGAATTTCTATTTCCAGTATCTAGATCAAGTCAGGACAATTTCCCAGATGGATTTTTCATATGCAAAATGCTTAAGTGTAGAATACTGAATTTATTGAGGCTGTTATGTAGATAATTGGGTCTTGCGTCAGGTAGAGGACTTTTTGGAGAACAAGAACGTCCCATTTTGAGGATAAAGACAAATGTTATATCACCCGAAAAGTCATTAAACCAGGTCTTATAACTCGAAAGTAGACCTTTTAGCAATCTTCAGTAGAGCACGGAGCATCTCAGTTCACCCAGCTAAATAACTATGACAGATACTTCTACATTTTAGCTCAAAAGACATGGTCATGTCTTCCAATTGATAATACCATCTGCTCGACTTCATCATGCCGGTCTGTGGGAGGTTGTGGCTAGAAATCTTGCTGGTCTGGTCATAAGCAGCTCGTACATTCACGTAATTGACGTGAGTTTGTCCAACTCTGACCGCACCACATCAGAGACGCCACGAGATTTACAAAACCCACTTCCACCACCTTCACCATGCTACCAACGTCAGAATCGTTCACAGCCTTCCCCATCGTGTTCTATTTCAAGTCTATCAGAAAGAAGGACACAGTTTTACTTGAACAGATCTAATGACAGCTGTCTTCCACCACAGTTCACGAGGTTATTCTATGACAAAACAGCTTTCTGCGGGGAAGGTGTTATCTTCGAATGTACTGTGATTGGTGTACCCACGCCTACGGTAAGTCATAGAACAAAATCTTTTTTTCTTTTCAAAACCATTCCCAATAAACTGAACTTCCCTTAGTCCGAACTACGTTGCTGACTTTCCGTTATTTGAGAGGTGAAGAAAAATTTGTGCTTAGAGCCATGGGGGGTGATTCTGTTTATGATCTTACGTATTGATCGTTGATAATGTTACTTGCGTAATAATAACGAGTAATGAGAGGCCTTCTTCAAACTGATTCCCCTTCGTCATGTTTAAACTTGTACATTCGCTCGGAATATACTAAAAAAGTTCGTATTCCGCACCAGAATTGCAATTAATAGTATTTTACTACAGTTTTATCTAATGGATCTATTCGATTCACTAGCTTTTAGATTCCATTGAGAGCTAAATGTGCTTTTAACTCTTCACGATTGCCGTACACAGGCACTTTTTTGCTTATCCACCGAGCTTTTGAACAGGTGACTCTGCCATGTACAAGACAACTACAATATTGCCTGGGAGTGAAGAACATATTTGTGGTTCACGCTAAATTGTTAGCTGTTCAGCAACAAGAACGGTTTTAGCAATCCAAAAGCATTTAAGAAAAGAAGTTAGCTGACAATGTCCAAGGCCACAACTTACGTGGAAGGATACGCATCGTTCGCAGCGTTTAAACATGGTGCCAACTGGTGGATAAAGAATTAGGATGCCGATGAAAGGTCATTATTTTATAGGACAATTTGTCGAAATGCCAAGACAATTTCAGAAATTCTAATGTTTTAATGGCAGATGTTAGCGATCCACCTGAAAACTATGAATAAATAGTACATTCTTAACTGTATTCACGGACATTTTTGTTCCGTTATAATTTCTTAAGAAGCACCACAATGTGTTTTTTGCCGAAGGATACTAATATATGTGTACATCTAGCTTACTGAATCGCGCCTGACGCTTTAAGTAAAGTGGCCATTTGAGAAGTTAGCGTGACCTCGATTTGATTTTTAAAGGAGGACCCTGTTTGAAAATTTAATGTGATTTATTAAAAGGGCTTGTTAAAACTGTGGTTCATTTCTATCTAAATAACGCAAATGAAATCGGTTTGCTTTCGTGAAAAAAAAAACGAAATGGAGAAAAGCTACAAAGTGCGAATTTGGAGTAGCGACATCTTAACACACCTTCCCTTTTCGCTCGAGACATGAATTTGGCAATTAGCTCACCTACAGGTGAAAGCGCTATTCGCTCGCATTGTGCCTTCCATCGACAGAAATATCCTGTCCCCTTTATTTTGCATTTCACTTAACCTTAAAAAAGTTAAATTTTCAGTAAAATCCGTCTTGTTGATTACAAGATCAGTAGTTGTAAAGCAATTTATAATTAAACAACTAATTCTTTATGAGAATGCTCGAAGCACCAGTTAATATTGGTTTAGTGAAGTGAGATTTGTATTGTGGATATGACTTAACGATCGGAGGAGGATGGAAGGTAATTGTAAATGATAAATGGCACGTGTAGGGTGGCAGTGGAAGGCCACATCTGACCGCTGCCACCGCCTTTACCACAACGTGCCCGCCGTATATCACCAAAACGAATACCACGTTGAGGTCGATGAACGGTAACACGCAGCTGTCACGGGTGGCCGTGCACTTTGGACCACGACCACGACCAGGACATCCTCGCTCCAGCTAATTAAACGATAAATTATTGCTCGCAATGTGGTGCAACTCCCTGCATTCAAAAGTGGAAATAAACAATTAGATTTCTTTAAAAATTTTCGAACGCAAACAAAGACTTTTAGTTTTGGATTTTAACAATCCAGCATGTATTAACCGTATGTGGGAACTCCTCGAACAAGTTTGGTGTCTCGTGCATTCCATTCAATACAAAAGTCTTAACACATTCCTCTCAAAAGAGATTAGCGACAGGAATCGCCTTACTGAGCAAAAAATTGATCACAAAACCAACGTTTTGTACTACCTTTAGGTTCATGAAGTGCGGACAAGCATGATGCTCAGCTGGTCGACCAATGTCGACGAGTTCGTTACCGTCTTCAGGGTGGCTGTGTACGGGCGAATTATACTCACCCATATATCTTTGAACTAGTTCACACTTTTACGAATCACATGAAATCTTTTAAAATAAGTCTTTTTCTTATTGACTACCAAGCGGGGTTCTGAATCATTAGTTAACTAAGGGTTTCCAAAGTCCCCCTCATTAAATTTAATCTCTATATAGGTCTACTCAGACATTTTTCATCATAGATTTCAAGCAAAATTTAAGATAACATATTTGTCGCGTCCCTATTCACTCCAAGTATGAACCCGATTGAATGATATTCACATGACAATGAGACAAGCTTTACACTTTAGGTTCGTTGGGAGTTTAACGGTGAGGAGCTTCAACAAAGCAACCTTAGCCGTTTCAAGATTGTAAACGAAGGCGTTAATCATAGGGTTGTGCTGAAGGACGTCGACGCAAGCTTCTCCGGTCGCTACTCGGTAACTGCTGAAAATTCTACGGGAATCGCGACGTGCTCTGCTCTTCTAACGGTTCAGATTAACAGAACGTGAGCACGTGTTTTTCGTATTTGTGTAAAAGCCAGCATGTGCTTATCCAATACCCTCGTGAAATTGAATGCTTACACAGGGGGACATTTGCTGTAATCCTCCTCAATCGATGTTTTATGCCGCAAATTCGTATTTACTGCTAGCTGCAGAGGGGTACCATAACTTGAGAAACTGCACCCAGTTAGTTGGCAAACTTATAAAAAAGGACTTTGCAACGGAGCAGTGGGTCGATTTCCAGATGTAGCGCAACTGGAACTCCTGCATTCATTAGAGCTAGATAATAAACACATTCTGTCTTGGCTTTATCAGTCGCCAGTCCTCAAAAGATGCAAAACCTTAGGGCTAAATTCTTTTAAATGAATTTGTTGGGATAGCGTGCACTCAAGGAGCTCATATTTTGCTCGTTTGAGTTAAATGTCTTTGCATTAAACTGGCGTCCCTAAAAGCCGAGTTGTAATTATAGTGGCTAGACTCTACCGTCTAGATGTAAATGAAAATGAAAGTTCTAAAGTCCTTGGGCTTTTTTCGAAAGGAAAAATCAAATGCTTAGGTTTTCAAATATTACCACTCTGATCTGATCGCTTTTCTCCTAATATTTTTGAAAGCTATATTAGGGGGTGTATGAGCCATACATGTATTAACTCGCTGGCTTTACGTTAACCTATACGCTTTAATTTCAGGCGAGACATTCAAATATCGTCGGATTTGGGGTGGTCAGATGTGACTGAAACCGAAAATAGTGAATTACTGTTTATAAAGAAGAAGGATTCAAGATCGCCACCTTACGTACTTCATATTTCATCTAGAGAGGACCCAAATATCGATGCTTATCCGCAAAATGTAGAAAGTCCTACAACTCAGATTATGGGGTAAGTCATGTCTATATGCATCATAGTACAATTAACGTAACAAATAATGCGTTCTAAGAATAGAAATATCTACACATATTTTGAGTTTTACGAATGAAATTCAAACATTCTGGGATATTAATCAAGATGTTTTTGATAAAAACTCTTGAAAATAAAGCATTCATCAATGCACTTTGCTTTCACCTTGCCCAATCACCTCCAATTTCCCCACTTTTTACCAAGGTTTGGTGAACTTTTCCAAAATTTATTGCACGAAGTGGCCATTGCACCAACACCGCATTGGTGGACGCAACAGTGCCGACCTTGAGGGTAATAAATGGTTTCCGAACCTCTTTTGACCCGAGGCTGCCAAACGCTTTACCCAGGTCCCTCCTTAAGTTTCGATTTACTGATAAGCTACTGGAATCGTCATCCCAACGAATCAGCTGAAGCTCTGAGGGGAAGAAACTGCGGTGGATTAATGTGGATTAAGCCGATGCGTTAATTCTTAAAGGGATGCAAAACGCAACAATAAATAGATCTAATTTAACAATAAATAAAGGATTTGTTGCAGGCTGTGTCCATATTTCAAAAGCCTGGTTCTCGTAGGAAAAATAAATGACGTTAAGATTGCTTTCAAGCTACGTAGGAGATAATGGCGTCTAGTTTTTTTAACAGGCGTTCTATTTGACATTGCAGGTACAGAAGCCAGATTTCTTGTTGTGACTGAAATACCATATCTCAGTCAACACACGCGCTTTCTAGCGTAAAACACTTTTAAATAGTAAACTCAGCCATCGTGTGTACACTGATTCCGATTAAATTTTAGTTACGTTTGTGCCTTCTGAACTCAATATTTTGTCCTTAAAGTGTTTTTACTTTGACACCAAAGCAGTTGACGTGGTCGCTGCAAGTGTCAAAACCGGTTCAGCAAGGGTTTTACCGGAGTTTAACGGTCGTAGTAGCTGCATAATGATAAATCAGACCATGCTTGACTCAAGTGATTGAAATCAACTGTCTCTGGGTCCTCTTATCTCTGACATACAACAAGAAGTTTTGTCCCCATAAACTTCGTAAAGCAGATTTGCCTCAATTCTGCAATTTGTGCGCACTTATCCATGCCCATCGAAAACCCATTTTATGGAAATCCGTGTAGTTTCACTTGGTTGAATTTCTGCGTTCATAGATTAGGTTGTGTGATAAACCAAATGTTATTAGGCTCTTAGTAAGTGATGCCACTTGGCATTTCAGTAAAAACAATTAAGTATCCTCGTAACTAAAACTCCGCCTCTACTACACAGCATATTTGTACGTTTACATGCAATAAAATCCTTATCGACCTATCGGCGCTTGATCGACACAAAGTACCTGCAGCTACCCTCTTTGAGTCAGAAAAAGCTCCAACTTACAGCATTCCAGCATAATCGCCCAGTGCTTTCTTGGTCTAATTATCCGTAAATCTTCCGTCGTCCACAGTGCTACGATTTTTTATCATAGGAACAAAGTGTTTTTCTAGACCCGCGATGATTAGTTTCAAAAGTCCATACCTCAAAAGATTGTCGTTCCGAAAAAGATAGGAAATAATTTAGGCAAATTCTGAAACTCCGGTTGAAATGTTTGTTGGTATGCTTCACGCCTGTCTTGCTTGATGGAGATGTCGCAAACACCAATGCACTCGTGTCTTATTATTTCGCTGTTTCAGAAAAGATTTATTTAAAGACAATAATGTTTGCTTAAGTCGCCCTTCCTCAATGTACCAGGAATGATTACTCTGGTTACCTCTCATAATCCTTGTGTAACAATAAGTTGAAGAACATTTGATTATCCAGCGAGTGTTCAAGTACAGGGTAGGGCACTTCAAATCGCACATGCCTGGCTTTTCAATGGTTGTAACTTTAAAATGTCTTAGATGCTGCAGATGCTAAGGGTAGCGATTTGTTGAAGACCTTTTAACCAAGGCTAATTTCACTTCATTCGTTGCACTTGGAAAAGCTATTTGGTGCAATTTCCGCATGGCGAGATTATCTCGATATTCCAAACAGTGTACATAATGAAAGAGATAAACTGGGCGTTTCTGACAAACAATCTTATTATTCATACACTTTTCTATTTCATTTAGCAACCGGAGACAGATGGTGGCGTCCAGACAACGTATAAATTGAAAAAGGACAATGTGAATAGACGGAAAGAACCGGGTGAATGAGAGTAATTAAATCTTCGCAAATTTCCCTAATAACCAATTTATTTGTAAAAATGTTTTCCTTTTGTCATTCTGCTGTAAACTAAATACATGACCAACCCCATTAATTTTCCTTCTATTTTCAAAAGTGTTGCGACCAAACCTTCCTCGTTTGCGTCCAACAAGTCCGATGCCTTCCATTCATCGCTTGGAAAATCGGCCGTCATTGGCGCAAACTGCTGTCTTCTAATAAAGGTTGCAGCAGGAAAAGCTTATCGAACAAAGCAGCCAGGGCTTATTAAGCGCCTAATGTAATTTTCTTAATTTCAACCCTGTGAGAATACGAACTAAAGCAAAAAGTAATTCACTTAATATTTAGGGTGGGCCACAATCTCACACGCACTTGAAGGGCTGCTTTATCACATATTTGCACTGTAACTAAATAAAATGACGATATTTTTTCCGGAAAAAATAACGCTTGCGGTCATTTGTCAATTTCAATGCGCAAACTGTGGATGCCTCATGTTCAACGTGACATTGCTTCGGCACAGTTGCTGTCGAAAACAGAACTATTGGACTCCGTCACATAAAATCAGGGCTCTTGATGTTACCAACGGGACCACGGGGTTTACTTACGAGGAGCACAGTACTACATCAGACTGAAAGCTCTTTCCATAAACTAATTCAGACGTGCCCCAAAAGCAGGCTCATGATTAGAAGTGAAGTTCTGTATCAGCTGTGTGGATTTTATTAAAATTTGCCAATCCTTCACACTTCTGCATTCTATGAACTGAATTTTTTTTCATGAACGTACATTCTGTTGTTGTCTTTGCCGAATAAATTTCAAGCATGCATTTAATGAAAATATCCTTTTTAGAAAAAAAATGCAATCAGCTTATTTGAACTGATTATAAGGCTAAAGACTTGTGCTACATCCTTTTTTTTCTTCTGGCGTGAATCAGCGTCCAACTTGTGTAATTTCGCGAACAGACGGAGATCAATATGTATTTGAATCATTAGTTTAGTATTGGATAGTGTAAACCTACTATTAACACCTGGTTAAAATTACAGGTGACCAGTTTATTGTTAAGTATTTCAAGCCTTAATCCCGGTTCAATAGTCTGAAATTATAATTTCTGTTCCCCAATTTAGCAGGTTGGAATCACGTAGCTCCTTATTTTTTGTGCGGGTGGGTTTCTGGGATAGTTTGAGGGCATCGACAGTGTGGGGCCAAACACAGCAACATCCATAAGAACCTTCGTGTTGCATTTTTCCTCATTATCTATTATTCATATCCGGGGTTAAAGCTGCAGAGATTTTACACTTGTGTACATTAAATAATTTCAGGTAAGTGCGATTTTCAACTAGAGCAAACCTTCATTTGACAGCACACATTAAGAAATTCGGGATATTAGGCTATAAAAAATTTAGCACAAGTTAACACAAACTTATTGCTCGGTTATTTCCAATTGGGCAACCTGTCTGCCAAGCAAAATTTTACTGGCTGCTTTGCACTAAAGGTCAGGTTTCTGAGGGGATTTCACAGTGGAAATTCCTTTTCTCTACTTCACGCTTTTTATGCAGACTGTTTTGTCAGGTGCATCCATTCCCATTCGTTTCAGTCAATTGAAGCCTTGAGGGTGTACCATTTTGGGCAAGTGGGCATGATCGGTGCATGCTTCACGTCGTTTGTCTTGATTTCTATAAAACGTATTTTCGCCTTCTAGGATAACTTCATTGAACGCAAAACCTCCTAGCTGACCGCTTTCGTTGAATAAAAGAGCAATTTCTTGGCAAAATAAGCGCATTTTAGGTACTTACTTTTACTTTTTTCTGCCCATATTGTACCAAATCGGGCTCAATTTAATTACTTTTTCAGTATTTGATTTGGGGCACACCAAATAAGCACTGGGATTAGTTACTAGGTTGGCTGGGGTTGTGATTTCTAAATGACCTCATTTCGAGATGCATCAATGCGAATAATATACGTCAAATATAGATTAAGGATAACTTACTAAAATATACTTGCTAAAACGCAAATACTAACAGCGACTTTCAGTGTAGGACACGTATACCACCCTTTCGAAGCCTTTACATGATATCGGTCTAGAGAGGCACGTGGTTTAGACTCTAGCAAGACAAACTGTGATTCTAGCTTAAATGCCTGGTGCCTTTATTAAAAATTATTCTTGATCTAATCTGATAATGATTAAAAGTTTCACAAAACATAAGTGCTGTGGGCTTCCAATGAAACTGGTCAAAACACGTTTCAGCAAGCACAAACTGTGGTGGTGTGTGTGGAAATGTGTTCACAACAGCTGGCACACACTTCTGTGCCCACCCAAAGAACTAAAATCTGTCTGGTTCTTCTGGCCTTGGTGTATTTGTTGGTGATAAATGCCATGTATGGTGTGTTTTGAGTTTTAGTTCGGACACATGTGATGTGGAAAAAAAGGTGGGAGGTTTAAAATAACCAGTTAAATGCCTTGAAATATCCGGATCCGTTCCAAGATGATCAGCACTCTCAATGAAGTATATTCATATCTTTGATTTTACTCCATTAGAAATCATGCGTTTGAAATATTTCAAAAATAGAAATACATGCAAAAAAAACACAATGATGCAACTAAACCCAAGAAACACTGTTCTGATATGCTGCATGGAAGTGGAAGAGGCTTGCTTTTTATTTACAAGTGATTCTCTGAGAGTCTTCAACTCTGATTATTTGTTTCACTCTTTGCTTCTCATGACATTGTTCTCTCAACAACTTAAGAAAAAGGCTATGACCTAACGCACATGATATGCCTCTCTTAAAACGAGAAAGTCACACACGGACTAAGAATGCGGTCTGGCTTGCCAGGCTTCGCATGTAATGGTATGACAACACAAAAAAGTACTCATGTATGTTATTAAGCACCTGGTTCATGTGCATAGTAAGAATTTCATTCGGTTGAAATTTACTTCAATTACGGAGATTTTGTAATTATTTATCGCGACATTGGACGAAGTCAGATCGCGAGTAAGGATATTTGGAAAGGAAATGTGATTTAACTCAGGCCTTACAGCCTAAAGATAATTAAAGCACCTACAGGCAGGCAGAATTTTCGATTTTAAATAGAACGGGGCATTATGTTTTGTAGGAAGCAAGCATATTAAGGGAGTTTTTAAAGCATTTTTTAAACATTGAATCAAAAGCCACATAACTGCATGGTATCTGCAACTGACATAACTTACCGAAATGCTACTTAGATTCAACTTCTACCTGAAATTTACCCTAGGACTTAATTGAGTAACTTGAAGCAGCTGAGTTTAGCACCACCTTAGAACCCTCTACCTCACAGAACGTAAAAACCCGGGAAGAGTGGAACATGGGGCGACAGAGGACACTGCCGTTTATTAGAGTCGAATCCGCCAAGTGGCTTTGTGGGCGTATGAGTACGCGTGCGTAACAGGCGAATGCTGACAGAGGCCAATAACAAAAGGGGTGAGTCATTGGTCCACTCGGGCCATCATGCACACATCGCTCACGCGAGGGGGCTTTCTGTCCACTACAAACTCGTCACAATTGAAGTCTTAGATATTCAAGTATAGTATATACACGGTCGTTTTTAGTAACACTCGCCTCTGTTAACTACCATGATGGAAGTCATCAATGGGTGATAATAAGCTGCCACCATGTCCCTGCAATACTAAAATAGTAAAAGTATGTATGACGACCACCATCTGGACTCGTCAAAAAAATTAATAAATGTAGTGTTCACCTGTCCATCAGAAGTCTTTGGGTGTGAAGTATGTTGTCTAATCATGCAAATTTTTGTTAAAATCATTCGATTTTATAGAGCCCTTTACGAAACAAGTGCTGACACAGGTAAGTGATCCTAGTCAAGATTGTGAATTGTGCTGCTGAACATCAGAAGTAATTGCGATGTCTTTTCTTGATGCAAAACATGCGTAGAAAATACCAAAAATTGATCTGATGGCCGCTCATTTTCGCTTATTTGAAGTGAAATTTCGCCATTCAAGCATGGGAGCTGCAATTTTTGTTTGGCGTTAAGGTATAATTTGCACCCTATGTTGTTACTTGACGTTTTTATGTGAGTTTACCAAAAAACCATTAGAAAAAATTTCATTTGCCTACTAATTAACGGGTTTTGGAAATTCCATCACACCATTCCTAGATTTCTCCGGCTTGTAAGTATTTTACATCTCACCGTACCTCCCATTGAGACGCGTGATAGTAGTTACTTTGGTTGATTAACTGACTTTCAAAGCAAAAAATGCGTTTCCATTCATCCATCCAATTTCAGTTTTAATGGTTTGACCAATGGAGCTCAGGGCTAATTGTGATTGGTTGGTGAATCGCACGCTTGCCCTAAATCAATCCCCTGCATGCAAATTTACCAGAAACTTGGGGCAAACCGAAAACTTGTGGTGAGGACCAGCTAAGTGTCCATAATGCGCTCTAATCACAGCCATCGGTGATGACGACTACAGCAGGGCCACAGGTGACCGCATCCACCATGGATGCTGCTGCGGCCAAGGATGCAGCAGAGGTCGTGGTTAGAGCTGGACTGCCCATTGAAGGACCAAACGTCACTTTATCAGACTACAACGTTCTTGTTGTTGCCCTATCAGTTATTCAGAATGAAGTCACTCACGACTGCCGACGAGCTGCAACGCTAATACTCTCCGGGTTTCTAGTTGTGGGAATTTTGTGTAAGTAATTGCATAATTTAATACGTGTTTTAAAACAAGTAAATAGCAACAGCTGTGGTAAACAATCTGACAAGATTTGGATTTTTCTTCAATCAACACAAAGTTAAGGAAGAAGCTTAAGCACTTCAAAAATCTGGACGCTTACCTTTGTTAAAACAATACTTAATTTTAAAGCCCCAAGTAGTGAATTTGAAAAAAAAGATCTGACTTAAAAGGCCACGAAATTATAAAAGAATGACTTGTGGTCCTATGCGCTTCACTGATAGCGAAAATCCAAGTAAAATTCAGTGAACTTCTATGATTTTCAAATATCCACAAAAGGTTGCTTTGTGTGCATTTTACGATTTCAATTTTCGGTCTCGCAAATTTTTACTCCCACTATCTGGTAGTTGATTTTCAGTTCTTAGATTATTAGAGGTGCTGCTTCGCCACTGCGCAGTTGACTTTTACCAATGTGCCCACCCAAATATAGCCACCATTGTTGAGAATGGGTTGATGCCTTCTCCTAAGTAATGCATGTACTTTTAAACAATGTGTTCCCTTGCCGCATTGAGACGAATAAACCTTAAATTAAAATTAAACTTTTTGGGGTTCAATCGAACCCTAAATTTAACAGCAAGTAGTTGACTCTACTCAGACTATCTTAAAGCCTTTTAATGGAAGTTCTAATTAAAAATGTTTTCCATTGTTTTTCTTTCTTATTAGTAAAACAAGTTCAAAACGATTGTGCTTTATTTAGCTCCATTTTGTCGGTGTACACAATCACGTCTTTGCACTGCGTCGTGAAGCTTCAGTAATGTCCGTTTTATAATTGATTTGTAAATTTGTGAGAAACCAATCGATTAGGAAATTAGACAGTTGGACAAAGATCACAACTCGGAGAAAATCCGAAAACGTCTAGTTCGTCTTTCAGATGTGTATATGAGATGCTGATCCATTTATTCAATATTATTAAAGTGTTTTGTGGTTTAGGTTTTAATCCAAAAAAATTGACGTTAACCCAATCACCTTAGACTTTTAATCATCCTAAGTTGTGTTGCTTTAGGCTTTATTTTACGTTACCAAACATTTCCTTGTTTTCTAAGGTGCATACATTTCTAGAATATTCAGTGAATGTTTGCTTTTTATTATAGTAAGCCTCCAAAGTACCAACTCTTGATTATTCTGTGGTCTTACCCATGTGCCTTATAATTTCGTGCTGGCCTCAAGCGTGTAAAACGTTCGCCTTTTTAACAATTTCAATCAGCTTGTTACAATATTTTGATTACTGAATTTTTTTAAAAATGGTGTCATCGGGTTTAGTTTAATTTCGATAACTTACGGAATCTTGTGTTTCTAAGCGCCAAGTATTTGTTTACAAAATTTTCGGTCCATTGCGTTCATTTGAAATACACTGATCCGCACATTATGAATTTGAAAACATTGGTTTGCCCATAGTCCCAACTTCATATGAACATTTAATTTGAACAAGAATCATGGTTTGAGGGATTATTAAGCAGATTATCACAGCCAGCGATCTATGTTTTTCTTAACCCCTGTTCGCTTCTAGTACTTCAAGTTAGCACTAACCCGTTCCGATTCGACGTAAGTGATGGTGCATCCAACTTGGTCGATGGCGGAAAGTGGCTTGCCTACGTCAGCAGCACTATCTTTCTACTCGAAATGAGAAATTTTCCCATTACATAAATAAGCCATCATGTCGATTGGAATCTGTGTCAAGTGACACATAGTTTATACTTTTCGTATCAAATTATTAAGAGGTTTTTGCATTTTCTATATTGTTTATTCAAAAGATTTATGTTGTGAAACCAGGTTAATCGCAGATTTTAATTTCATCAAATTTACTGTGTACTAAAATAGCTTGTTCATCAATTCCGAACTAACGCCTGTCTTGTTGGTACTTTTGACCCGTTTTGCAGCATAAATTATCAGGGGTATGAGTGCATGAATCCGTAGTGTACGTGACATAGACATAAAAATGGGTGTTGGTAATGCCGTGTGTTACATATATCGCTAATACCATCATCTGGATGAGTAAAAGGCCATAAAATTGGGAAATGCATGCACTCCTTGCCATCTCAAATCCAATTCAAAGTCTACCATTCCGCTTCACTGTCTTCACCTGTAACATTTGCCTTTGGTTGGTGCACATTACAAAGGCGCGTTTAGTGCATTAATCTTGCAGTGGCCCTAAAAAACCCGACCCTCTAACACCCTTTCCTGCCCTCTGCCATTCTCCTTTAGCCCAGTAGTGTGCGCTTTTCACACCATAATTTGAAACACTGATATTAAGATACTTTGGTAACCAATGAAAGGTGCCTTAATATATGCAGGATGCGAAAAATCAAGATTGTTCATTTCAGTTATCGGAAGCATAGACGTAAGACGGTGAAAAGCAATTTCTCTTGGAAATGTTTTAGCGTTTGCAATTAGAAGTGCACTCAGTCGTAGCCCCTAAAGATGAATGTTACGTCCCCATTCAATCAAAATCGGTTTTTACATTATTCTGCTGGTACTGAAGTTATCATTGTTTCCTGATTTTGTATCCACATTGCCCGCCGCTAGTATTCATTTATTCTGTTGTTTTCTGTTGATATTTGTTGCTTCGCCACTTAGGATTAAGCATCCATTAGAATGGCTACGGAAATAAAATTTGTGGAAACCTCTCCCTTGATTTCATTTTCGATCTTCACAACGAAAACGTTTTCAACGTTGTTATTGAAATAAACAGAAATTTTGAAATTTACCATAGACATTTATTGTCAAGCATCCTATTCGCTCATGTTCATTCACCTAATTTGTGTGATACGGTTTCTTTCGTGTGGTAACCTGACTAATTTTGCCGCCAACATGTTCTTGAAAAAAAGCCACCTCTTCTCCTGTACCTGCGTCTCATGTCCTGCACGAAATACACTTTCACGTTCAATAATTCTGTGGATTCTGAAATGCCAAAATAACGGTATTTGGTTCTATTTAACAACAGCTCACATATTTCCCGACTCGCCTTGTTCATTTATGAACTTGCGAAAGAGATAAATCATGCTTTAGTTGGGACCTTAATCCTAGTCGCACGTCTTCTTGTTAGTCACAAAAATGTTTGCTGGGAATTGCTAGTTTATTTCTTATGAAATACCTTTATTGGGATCGGAATAATGCGGTAGACATATTTATACGAAATTTCATAAGAAGTATACCAAGATTAGGCCCTGATCATGAATTTAAAAAGGTTTCACTCACCCCCACACAAAAAATGCTCAATTTTTTCTAAGTTCAAGATAAGGATGATCAGAGAGGTCACGGGTGTTTGTAAGATCCTTATGACGGTTTTGCCACGTTCATTTAGGTAACAAGAGATAAAAGTGGCTTAAGAATGCTTGCAGTGTTTGAAGATTTGTCTGACTGTGGCCACTGCCCCAGCATACTCCTCCTGTACTCTCCAAATATCCGCTTAATGTTTCACTACAACATAGAAATGCTACCTCTTCAACTATTAAATGAAGCAAACTCAATGATGATTTAAAACGGCGGAAAGTCAAGAATTTCTATTTAACAATTATTTAAAGCACTTTAACTAAAAGCAACTTGGCATTCAGCAAAAATGCGACACTAATTTTAAGCGGGTGTAAATCATGCCTAAGATTTACCTTGTCAATCGGTTTCTATGGTACTTTCTTATTGCGTTTCGAATTTGCTTAATCAGATCAAGTCTCATAAAACTGAAATTTCGTTTTTATCAGATGGCTTCAGGATGTGTTAAAAATATTGCACGCGCAACCTCCTTTTGCGCAAATGTAATGTAAATTTATTGAGCTTGTAAACCAGACAGTCGTGGGTTTTGGGGAGCATTTACATTGTTTATGGCGTTGGGGCCAATATCTTTCCCATCGACTTGCTACAAAGGGAATGCATGGAGGAAAGGAAATAGTTATGACTCTGCATCTAGTTAACTGATTCACATTCAGACAAGAAGCACAACATTTGTCCATGCAATGCTATCTACGTGTTAGAATTTCTGTTCAATCCCCTTGCAAAATTTTTAAATAGTTTACGATAGCAACCCAATACGCTTATCCCTTTTCTAATTTTCGAAGTCTCCACGGGTAACCATTTTCAGAATTTCTTAGATATAAAAAAACCTCTGATTAATTTAAACTAAATACTTGTTTACCATTATTCCTGCTAATTCGATTTCAAAAGAAAGCGAAATTCGTCTGCCTTTTTAGTAATAATTCCTGCAATCATGCAGACGGCGGCTGCATACCTCTGGATTGAACAGTACAGAAAACAACTTCACCACCAACCCTTACGAAGTGCCAGCAATGACAAATACAACAAACTCTCAACAGTGTTCCACAAGAAGAATGTAACAGACATGACACGGACATTATTTATCTACCGAATTTTGGCATGCGTGGCATCTCTGATGGTTTTAATATGTTCTACGCTTCCCCAGCTTGTTTTGGTGGTGGCGAATCCCCCAAACGAGGGTAACATTGATCAGCGGTGGGGCTGGTGCCAAACATTTGTGTACATGGATCACGTGACACGTTCTTTTGCCACGTACCTCATTGTGGTGCCGTACGTCCTCTTCTTTTGGGACTTTCTCTTCAGCGAAGTGGTGCCACGGCGACACCTCGTCATGAAGCATATCTTTCGGGGTGTTCTCATATCATCGATGCCCATAGCCCTGTTTTCCTCGATGATAGCAGTTCCACTCGTAGTTTACCGCTACGAGAGAATGTGGGATGGCGTGCACGAAGTATGTTCATCAAGCATTAGGGGCACTACAAATTTCCTTGTATTTGACTTTGCAATTACGAGAGTTGTCCCGGCAGTGATTATCATTATCATTACGGCGGCTTTCCTGGTTTGGCTTCCACGCGACCACTATGGTGTTTTCTATGAACCCCTCATATTCCTTTTCCTCATGGCTCCAGTTGTCTTTCTTGAGGCGACGATCTACATAGCCTCGTATTTGGGCAAAGTGCACAACCTGGTCAATGAGCACTTTGCTAACATTCTGCTTATCTTCTATGCTCTCTATCACATGTCATTCAGCAGCACTTTTGTCCTAGAGACAATTCGCTCAGTAGTCACAGAAATCAGACAGGAAAGGAAAGCAAGGAAACGGTTTTTGCTGGGAGAGAACCCAAAGGGGGATGTACAAAAAAGTGATCGTCGCAGCAACGTTATGCTTGGACTTCAGCGACAGTTCTCCGTTGTGTTTCGATGGCGATCCGAGTGTGCTGAAGACGAGCTTCATTTAGAAGAAAGCATTTTAGGAAAACAATCGGAGGTAGATATAGAAGCGATTCCCATTCCAGAAGAGACCTCCAAAAGTGAGGCAGGTGAAAAGAAGCACCACGATGATGTGACCATGCATTACTCGATTCTCCAGCGCTCTGCTACTTACAAGCGGGAGCCGAAGCCTAGCCATAAACACATTCGCAAACCGTCCACTGGTTCACTTGCCAATGCGCCCAAATCTGGTCCAGGACACGAACCCAGTCCCACGTTGAAAAGAGGTCCACTCAGTCCCACGGGAGAAGGTCGTGGCCATGCCTTAATGGACACCCCAGGAAAAAGTCGTAGCCGTGGAATGAGTTCGGGTGCCAGGAGCCTACGAAAGGCTTACACGTCAGCTGATATGACTATCTTGCCATCCCATTCACCCCCGAGAAACGGGAACAGGTCACTGCGACACGACTACTGAAATCAGGTGCACTTGTTATCTAGTTCCCAGGGAATTCAAGATTCCAAATACCTGCTACTGGATTTTTCTCTTCGAATTTTGGACAGTATTCTCTCTTCAAGAGAGAGAAATGCACACAGATTTACAAATTGACCTCGCAAAAGCAATCCAAGTGTCGATTACGTTTACAATGTTTACTCCTTTCATGTATATAATAACTGAATAATATAACAACACAAATATAGAATTTCTTTTGCTAGGTACTAGGGTGAAGTCTATTTATTACAAGTGTATAGAGTCAAGGAATCAAGTACCAAAGCAATGGCAATTTCTCAGAATGAGGAAAAAATGTGCCGGAAGCACAGCTTAAGGAGGGGCAAGCCTGTAACTAATCAGTATTGGTGGCAAAAACATGTCCATAGAAATTAAAATAGGTTAAACAGGAACGCAAATATCTGTGGCTTCTCTGGGGCCACTGCAGCATTTCCCACTCACGTGCATATTGACGAGAACTGTAGGTGATGGAGTTCGGTTACAATAGATTACAATAAAGTTATTGAAATTAGGTAAATGCCCCTTCATTGCATAGACCTGTAGCGTCGCGTTGTCGTGACGGTCTTAGTGCATTGCGTCACAGCATTTGAGTGGCTAATATCATGTTGCGGCACAACACAGCACGAATCACCCAAGGAAGGAGCGTGGTCATGTGAAAGAGAGATACAACCGATTAGCAGATAGCTCAACCAAGCTCTGTTGTCGTGTACGTGTATTCAAAGGTGGTGCATAACCAGGCCGTTGCTGACACACTGTCTAGGTGACTTTGTAAAAGTGCAAATGGCTGAGTGTCCAGATGGGTGAAGTGGCTAGCGGGGCAGGTATCTGCACAGGGCCGTTTGAGCAGGCACCCCTTCATGACGGACGACCACGCTGCGAAAAGGGGACGGTGTGTTGGAGAACGCGACGACCGGGTAAATGGAATGGACGCGAATCAACACGATTCACTAGTCATGCAATTTCGAAGGCCAAGAAGTCACATGTGAAATCTTGGCAATGTCACAATAATTAACGAAATCCCGTGCAGTCAACATTAATTAGCACTCTCCGTCAACAGCATAACAAGTCAGTTTACTAATAAAATGACGAGCGATTACGTTTTGTAATGCTGACTGAGTTGATTTTTGAGGAGAGTATTATTTAATGAATGTCACTATTTAATTCGGCACTAACCACGAAACTGCTACAGCCTATTTCTGCTTGGAGCACCGAGCACGTGGTGGGCACGATACATCCAGTTAGAGAGAACTACATAATATCACGCTTTCAGCATACCTCGCCCTCCGCATAAATGGTCACCGGCGTCTTCGCTAAGGTAGAAAACTTGTCAACAGAATTTATATTCTTGTAGACAGTGAAAAACTTAATGAAGTAGTAACTGGAACTCTGCAAAAATTCTTAGAGCTCACAGAATCCGTTTAGAAATTCGGCATCAATGACAGGCCTGTGTCATGTGCCAAGCATAGGAGATTTTTGCGATCCTCATTAGGTGAACATGACTACTTGCTTAAGTACTGGACTCGTGTGTCAGTGTGCCAGTGTGTATAGGTAGGGTACTCGCATGAATAGCGGTAATCGGATGTGTAAACTGGACAAATCATTGGGTGGGTCATAGTTATGAGCTTGTGGCGGGCAGCAAGCCAGCACAGTTAGCATTCATGAGCGAACGCAGTTTGCTAGCGTGAGCGACCGCAAATCAATCGATTTTTTCGTGAATGCACTGCAGTGGACAGACAGCCGCCTCGTGTGAGTGCTGCGTGTATGCTTGTCCGACTGTATCTATGACTCACCTTCCATGTTATTGATTTTTGCCTGTAATGCACGCGAATCGATACGCACACAGAAGTTAGTTTACTCGACTTTACTCGACTTGACTTGTTTGTCGTGACGCAAATAAACGGTCGGGTCCTCAGTCGACTCTTTTGTCATCCCTCTTCTAGGGGTGTTACCGGCTGTTAACTATAGGGTTGTGTGGTAGTGCTGAGCTCGACCCCTACAAATTGGTGACCCCGACGAGCTCATTTCAGGTAAGCTTGTTCAGACAGGCCCCCACAAATAAGCCTCAGATGACAAGCCCGAATGTAAGGGGTAATGTGGAGTGGTAAGTGTGGAAAGAAACCGCAACCAGGTCACAAAAACGAGCTACATGCTTGGCGTTGTGCGAATTAAAAAGCCGTGACATTTGGCCAACCATGTATACCTGTGCCTTGACATGAGTTGGTGTCATGTGATGAAACTACAGTGGCCGGTGTACATGTCTAATGACGGGCGTGATGGTGGTGGTAGGGTCGTTTGTTTAACTCGGCCGTCGGACACGAATTCTGGCCTACTGCTGTAAATGACTGTAGGGGTGTATTTAGTGTGGTCACAAAAGTTAATTCCATTTTTGAATACCAAAGACTGTTCTTTACAGCAGATTGCATTCCAATTAGACTATGAAGTAGTTATTTTTACTAATACACAGCTTCCGTTTGGCTGCGGAGACGCTTCTTTGCGTGGTTCGGCGGCGGGCAGTAGATTGTCGTTTGAATGCTCTGGCTTGCCTCAACATCACGCACCCTCAACAAAACTTCTCCAGACACGTGCACACGCGCACGATACTTCAGGCGTAGAGGGTAAATAAACGTTTGGGGCCAGCTCCTCGTTGCCGCCTTCTTTATTCCCTGTTCCCTTTGGGTGCCAACAAACAATAGAATTTAAATGTTACTTACCAATCGCTAGAATCGGCAACACCGACACGTTTGTCGCTGACCAATTGCAAAATCGTCTTGTAATTTTTGCCATGGTTGTCCATTATCATCCCGTCAATTCCAGATTAATTACTAACGATATCTACCATAGTCAGTACTACGATATAAGAACACACACCATTCCCGGCTAGTGATCACTAACAGTCTCACTGGTAAATTGACTAAGAGGAAGTATTCGAAGTGATCTGTCGCATTATCCATATTATCATCGCTTCGCTCCTCAGCCGAGAATGGGACATGGTCATTAAACCGACTACACTTACTCAAGCATTTAAGAGGATTGTACAGATTAAGATCGCTTGCAGGCAAACGAACGTGGAGGCAGTTTAATCCACGATTTTTTGTAACAACTCTCTCAACTCGTATTGTCTCAACTAGACAGTAACTCACCAACCACAAATCATCTATGTGTGTGACAGAATAATGTCAAACACTTTCTAGCCACGACAACTCATCCGCTCGATTTTCACCAGGCGACGCAGAAAGGAACTGAATTTCTACAGGTATGAGTCCG